TGTGATAATCCCCTGATCTTTCTTCTAGCGCCACCATGAGGATGACATGTGTCAGTTTAAGTTCTAAAATAAACCAGAAACAAAACCTTTTTCTCTCTGGTTCAGAAGAAATGTGAGATATCTTGGAATATAATGTGCAGTGTTCTCTCACACAACTCCAGGTGACAATTCCTGTCTGTTACCTTTTATAGGAGCTGTAGTGATCCCTCAGAATAACGTGAAGAACTGCTCGGTAGAACAGAGACTCCATCTGAATCTGTAGAAAAGATCGGATGTAACTTGACTCAACATGATGCACTTTACTGTATTTTTCAAAAACAAAAGTTTATTATCCCCTCGAGACCCATCCAACATGTGTACGAATGCTCGATAAACATTTGTGACACTTTCCGAGCCGAGGCCTGTTTTTCTGATTCTGCCCCCGGCTCCAGAAAAGTAATCAATCCTCTGCGTGATTGCATTAATATTTATAAATATTCCATATGAACGTGTGAGCGTATCGTGTGTCAGCTGTGGCCTGGAGCTCAGCGTTCTGCATTTATAAATAAATACACTGCAGTCCATCACAGACTGAAAACAATAGCAGAGTTAATGGGCTGATTGTTTGAACACAGGCAGGAGATTAACGGTGATGATAACCGAGTCGTGAAGGATTGTGAACCCCTGCGTGTTTGATGGATTTGTTTTGATGGGTGCAAAGACATTTAACTCCCAGTCGTTTACAATGATGACTGCTAGTTTATGATATTGATTACACACAGTATCCATTCCTTACTCACCCCCTGGCCGAGTGAGACTCTCTCCAGCGCCTGTGTTTTTCCAGAAAAACGATATAAAGCGTTAATACCAGCTAAAATCCACCCGGACACAAATACCATTCCCTGCTGTTTGCAGTCAGTTTATTCACTTGAATTCAGGCTCTTGTTACAGAACCGCAAAACAGTCGCTACTACATGTTTATGTTAGAAAGATGCTGCTGTGCACTTTTTATTTTTTATTTTTGCGGCGTCACTCAAACTCACCAAACACGCAGACATCCTGGCGTTCCTGCCGCAGAAGCAGGACTGGCTGCGGAGGTACCGGCTCAGAGGGAAACCACACACACTGTGCAAACACTCTGAGGAGGAAAACACACAGGAACTAAAACAGTGAGGTGACTGATCAGCTTGTGTTGAATAATCTTGTTGCAATCAGTGGATATGAATTTTAAATATCTGTCCAGGGAAGCTCATTTTAAATTACGTTAATGAAGAATCCATCTCTTCTTCTTTGTTTTTATTATCTCAATCATCGAAACTTTATAGATTTAACTTGAATGACAACGCGAGCACCAGGTTTTTGTTTGAGTCTGCACCAAATTGCACACTCATAAATATCTGTCTAGTAAACATGCCTGGTTTTATTTTCTAATAAAAATCTGTGATTTACTTTCTGAGAAATAAATCGATCAAAGATTATGAAGGATTTGTTCAACTAACAACCAAATAAACAAACGCGGTCAAAGGAAGCACTAATAACATGTGCAGCTGCGGCTGCTCATGAAAACTGCTCTGGACACGCTAACATGGAAGCGGTTGGGTCAGCCTCCCCTTCAGCCCTGCACATGGCGCGCTGACACAGGCCCTTAGCGGTAATTGGAGCAGACAAGCCTTTCCTCAGTCTGACGTGTAGATTACAGCCCGTGCATGAGGCTGTTTATAATAACCGGCCTCATGCTGACCACGGAGATCACATCTGAAGTAGCCGTGTCATGCACTGCAATTAAAAGGACAAATATTTCTCATGTCCTTGTGCACGACTGGACACGTCCACTTGAAAATGCGGGCGGCCGCAGACGTGAGACGCCTGAGCTCTCTCGCCTGTGAGCAGTTGTGAGTAAACACGATGGGATTGGACAGAAAGTTCTGACATCATCTGCACGAAACGAATGATGCATTTGAGGAAATGCTTCATTCCAAAAAGATCAGATCATACAAGTTCGTAACCGCCTTCTAGAACGAAGCTTTTCAGCCATTTAGCTCCTTTCTGGGGTGAGGCGGGCCACCACAGGAGCTGGCCTGCATCCCAGACTGCACTGTAAGGCCAACATGGGAGAGAGAGCTTGAGCGTGTGTGTGTGTGAGTGAGTGAATTCCTTTTGTTCCTCTCTTTAAAAGATGTGTTTCGAGAAACAAGCACCGAGGAGTGTTTTCAATCAGATGTCATGAGATCATTTTCCCCCCCTCAGCTGAAGCTACGACGGCCCTGATGACGCCAGGGTCGGAGGGCGCACTGTTAAGAAGCGATGACTCTATCGACTTCACAGAGGGTTCTTTCTTAAAGTCATGCAACGTCGTCGGGGACATTTTCCTGATATTGACCAGAGATATTTGAGTCAGTTGCGCTGGACATTTTACAGAACTTTTCCCACCAGGTCCAAAGAAAAATATCCAGAAACTGGGCTGTGTCACCATCAGTGCGTGTGTGTGCGTGCGTGCGTGCATGCGTGTGCTTACCCTGTGCAGCCGGGTCAAACTCCTCAGACAGCAGGTGATAGCAGCAGCCCACGCTGCAGACAGCGGCCAGCTCCGGTTTGGCCACAAACATCCGCAGGGTGCTGGGAGCCAAGTCGCCGCACGTGTGCAGCCCGACCACGACGGCGTCCTCGAGGGTGGAGAAAGCACGCAGAGAAAGAAGAGAAGAGAAGAAGCAGAAGAGAGGAAGGAGATCGATGGTGAACTTTATTGATGATGACGCGCCTGCACATTTGGCGCAGCAGTCACATCCCACACTCACCGCGGTGATGCAAACTCCAGCTGCGGTGACAGACGTGTAATTTCAGGAGCTGCTGGCCCTCCTGTCTGCACCGTCACCCGACACGCACTAAATCTATTTCCAACATTTACTTTCCGACTCTCTGCGTCTGCTCACCTCCAGCTCGTCGATGAGCTCTCGCAGCTCCGTCTCCGCGGTAACGTACGACGTGAGGGGTGAAAATACAGTGGCGGCGCTCTCGCCTCTGTTCAGGGCTTTCCTCTCCAGGTTCTCCCTCTTCCTCCTCTCCCTCTCCTCCTCGCTCAGCCGGCTGGGGGGAATTCTGGTGGATGTAGTCTCTATCACGTCCACTGACAGGGAGCTAAGGAAGAGCTCCTCGGTTTCTGGGTTTGTTGTGGGGCTGACATCTGATAATACAGTTAAAACCTTCTCCTTCTCCTGTGTCATGATTCCACCACATAAAACACCACTGTCATCATTCGCTCCAGGTTTTATTTCTACTCCTAACTCCTTCTGAGGTGAATGCGCGGCCTCTCCACGTGCCCTCGCTGCCTTGCTGTGTTTCTGGTAGACTCTGGAGAACTTCTTCAGCTTCCTGTTCCTCTCCTGGGCTCCGTGGGTGTTGGTGCTGGACGAGTCGATGCCGTAAACCCGGAGACCGTACTGCAGCGACAGGAAGGAACTCAGGTAGCCTTTCCCCGAGCCCACATCTATCACCTGGGTGGGAGAACAAAAGATGGACGGAGAAATAAATTCCTAAATCAGGGTCGTAAGACCAATTATGGAAGTTTATAGTTGTGTTATTCTACCTGTTTGACTCCACAGCGCTGAGCCAAACAGGCCACCACCTCAGACATGGCCTGGACCTCATGAGACTTTTTGGAGTTCATGAACTCATCTGTTTCCAGCTCAGCACCTGGAGCATCACAGCAGCAGAAAAGTGAAACATATTTACATGTACTTTTAAATAAGTCCCAGATCCCTCCTGGATGTTTTCATACCGTCGTCGCTCCTTCCTGTCTCTGCTGGTGCAGCGCCACCCTCAGACCCCGTCTCTCTGAGGCCCTGCAGCAGCTCCTCCCTGCTCCAACACACTCCGAGGCCTGGGAGCGAGTGGGCCCTGGCTGCCTGCAGAAGTTCACGGATATCGACCAGTCGCTTTGTTTCACAGCAGAATCCAAACGTGGTTCTGGGCTCATCTGTTTGGGAAGAAAGGCACAGAAACGTCAGCAAATTTGCAAAAAATTGTATTAACTAATGTAGATATTTACTTAAACTTAACATCCATTCAAATTCTGAAGTTTTTGTTCTCTTTTATAAGAATGAATGAAATCATGTGAAGACTTTGTTCATTACCCAATACAAAGGAATTTCATTTGTGTTGCTTTCAGCATCAATTTATAGTTTAACAGCAGCTTCATTGTCCAGAAACAATGATGTGGTTACAGCTGGATGATCCACAGGCCTCAGTGTGAATGTGTTTTCATTGGATCTACTTTTCTACCGCAGATGAGAAGACTGCAGTCGTTGTGCTCTCAAGAAAATGAGACTAAATTAAAACAGGGCTGCCTCCACTTGGTTCGATGCCCCCAGAGGACGAGAATATTCCTCTTTGGTTTCTGACTGACACTTTCATTTAAACCTTATTTTCTATTGACTAGAGAAATACAAATAATTACTCCATTAGAACTTTTGGCTTGTGTTTATTCTTTGTATTTGGTAACAATGCACTAATTAATGTTGGTTATCCATTCACCGAAACTTAAATAAGCTGTTAATAAATCAATTTTGCCCACAACTGCTGAGTATATTAATAACCATAAATTAACTTCTTGAGTAATCAGTTCATTAACTAATTATGCTTTTACATATTACTATTATTATATAATTTGAAAACAAACTGAAATTGAAATAAAAAAGAAATATAATATTATTATAAAATCATAAATCAAACTAATCATAAATAAATCTAATATAGATGCATTATTAGAAACTGCCACTCACAAGTTTACTTAACAAACTTTTTAATTAAATTATTTTCATGGCCACACGACTTCATGTATATTGACCTTTAGCTTCGGGCTCTGGCTCCCCCTGCTGGTCGCCGCCGGAGCTGACAGCGGACAGGACCTCTTCCGGCGTCACGGCCACGAAGCGCGTCCACACGTCGCGCGTGTAAAAGTCCACAGTGTGCGCGTCAGCGATGCTCAGGGTCACCGACAGGAAGCGCGTGACTCCGTGGATCCTCTGCTGGATGTCTGAGAGGCTGAGAGAGGAGGCACACATGTTCGATTCCCACCGAACCGACGCGTGGGAGAAGTCCTCCGCTGATGACGTACGTCCAGACATCATCAATTGAAAATGCTTGTTTGATTATTTTCCCTCAGGAAACAAGAAACTAACAAACTACAGAGACTGAACAGCTGAGTCAGTGTGCGACAGAAAACTAGAGATGATTCTGGAGACTTAGAAAGAAATTTAGTCATTTTCAAAGTATTTTCAGATTCGTAACAGATGCTGGCTTTAGAACACGCTCTGGGATCGACTGGACGTGGCTGCTCTCTTTCTACGTCATCTCCCAGCGACAGCGGAAACCTCCACATGTAAACATCTCGCGTCTTTTTTTTTTTGAAGATTTGGCTCAAATGGCGCCGACAGATCGTAAAATGAAGAATAAAAAGTTTACAGGGAAAGATGGGAGCTGGAAGAAATCTAACAGCGGCGTGCAGGGGGTGAAGAAGAAGAAATGGACCCCAGACCACAAAGTGTTCGAAGGCAGCGTCAATGAAGGTACTTCTGTTTTCTTCAGCTTCTCTGTTGAAGTTTATTTACATTAGTTAGATACAGAGAAAAAGTTAAATCACACAAGAAGAGAAAGATCCAGGTACAGAACTTTTAAACCTTCAGATATGCATGTCACCAAACTCAACCTAGAAATATAGTCATTTAATTCCTCTGCTTCGTTTGTCAAAATGTGCTGCTAGATAAAATATTTAAAAACATATTTTTTTAAACATATGTATCTTCTGATAAATTCGGCATATAAATTATCTAATAATTATTGAACAATAAGGAGTGTCAATTTGAACTTGTGTGTATTCTTCACTCCTCAGGTCAAGGGTTTGCCTTCAAGAGGAAGGAGAAAGTCAGACACGAGTACAACAAGCTGCTGCGGAAGGATAGGAAGAGGAACCCCGAGTCCAAGCAGCTGTACCAGGAGGAGTACCCAGAACATCTCAGACATCTGTACCAGGCCGAGGCACAGAAACTCAAACAGGAGGCCTGGACCAACAGGGTCAACAGGAGTAAGCAGAGGATGAAGGGGAAGGAGAGAGAAGAAGAAACTGATGAAGATGATGATGCAAAAGAGACGAAAGCTGCAGATCCAGATCCAGAAGTTACTGTTGGATCTGAGCCAACAGATTCTGTGACTGGGGACGCTGAGCAGTCTGCAGCCGCAGAGAAAGAGAGGTGAGGACTATTTTCACCTCTGTCCATGTATTTGTTTGTCTACTGGTTGGCAGCTTTACACTAAAAACACTGGATGTATTCCACGAAACTTGGTAGGAGGATGTGATGTTGGTCAGAGAAGAACAAATATTGTTTATAGGAAAGAGTTGTGTAACCAAATTACAACTAAAATGTCAGAGCCATTAAATGTATCAAAGTATTGCTGGGTGTATGTATCATGTTGATGTGTCAGATGTTCATTATTAGTTGCAGGCAAAAGCAATTCAGCTTTAAAATGTGAAATGAATTCTCAGTAATGTTCTCCTCTAGTCTCCCAATGAGCAACCGCATGAGGAAGAAAATACAGAATAAGACGTCGTACCAGAAGACAAAAGAGGAATTTGAGAAAATCAAAGAAAAGCGGAGGCAAAAGAAAGGGGTGAGCTGTTTCTCTGTTTTACTTCTCATTCCATGCTCTGTTTCCTCTGAGTTTTATTTTACTTGACTTTAAATCAAAGTGCAGTCTGACTGGTTGTGTTGTTCCTCTGCAGGAGTACTTGAAGAACAAGCAGCAGAGAGAAGAAGCCATTCAAAAGTACAAACAGAAAAAGTTGGAGACGTTTCAGATGCTGAGCAAGAAGACAAAGAAGGGGCAACCGAATCTGAACCTGCAGATGGAATATTTACTTCAGAAGATACAGAGAACTGAGAAATGAGTCTGGGAGCGATTGAACTGAAGAACTTTCCTGTATCTGACTGTTTTCAAAAACCTGATGTGGTGCATCAGGATTCTTTCACACATGATTCACATGTCGAGTGATAATCTGATCTCAGACTGATTTGCTCCTTCACGAGGGGCTGTTTCATTTCATCTGTGCTTTTTCTGTTATATTATGATTTTTTTTGTATTTTGCTCTGGAAAATGTTGAGGCCCATTTCATCCTCACACCACAAGATGGCGTTGTAATACATGAACCGATGGAAGAACATACACGTGTAAGAAGACATTCATTAAAAGTTATATTCACAAGATTTTAAACATTAACACAGCGACCAACTATTTTTTATGTAAAGACATGAATAGGGAGTGATGATGAAATCACACTAGAGGTGATGAATATCATATATTTAACCTTAAACCATAGACCTTATGTTGAGATGGGCAACATGACAGCTCGCAAAAGAGAAGCCAATACGTCTTGATCGCCACCTGTCATAAGCCCCGTCTCCTCTATGTTAATGAATGGGACGTGGACCATTTGAATTGTCAAAATAATTTCTCTGAAAGATGGTTTTGGTCATTTCAGGAAGTGGAGGAGCCTCGTCCATCTTTATCTGCAGTGACTTTAATCAATAAATGTTTGAGTTTCCTGAAAGTTCTTTCAAGATGAGCAAGGAATAGTTTTGGTAAGTTGCTCCACAACACAAAATTAATGAGAAATGTTGCAACAGTCAGCTAGTTTAACTTTTATTACATCCGCCGAGGAGGTTTTGTTTTTGAGTTGTGTTTTCTGACTACCATGATCGGTCAGGGAAGAATTTGGTTCAGATTCAGATCTTTTCTCTTTCTTGAACGTGGTGAGATTATGTGTTTTTACAACATTGTGATAAATTTCGTGGTGTAGTTATGGAATAATTCATGGATCTTGATGGAATAAACCAGACATGTTTAGGAGACTGATATTCATGAGTTTGTGCAATTTGGTGCAGATCCAAATAAAATCCTGGCTCCAGTGAATTTAAAAGTGGTTTCAGTATGTGCCCTACTGAGAGGCAGTTTTGAAATGGGGAATAAAAATTAGTTTAAGTTGATGGCCAACCTAAAATAATATTTCACTAATCTAAAATGTCTGTATAGTTACATAGTTTTACTTTTATGAACAATAAACCCTAATTTAACCCCAGTCAACGATACATTAAAGTTCATGACACCATGATCCTGCTGTCGTCATAGTTACACAGGATGTAAACGTTGCATACGTGTTGCCCTCATCAAGAGAGTTGACTCTGCAGCCCTCCCTCTCTCTCTCTCTCTCTCCCTCTCCCCCTCTCTCAGCGAGGCAGCAGCAGGGACGCAGGCTGAAAAGCCTCAGGCTGCTTCCTCATGGCATCACATGGTTGCAGAATGACTAACATTCATCTCTGAAGCAAAGACTTCCTAAACTCCGAGCGCGGCCGCTGCTCTGCTGATCACTGAGAGCTGAGGGAACAAAAGGCTTTTCACCATCTTGTGGGAGTTATTTGGAAAAGGTAAGAGCTTAACTCAATTTTCTGGTTTATTTGAAAAAAGCGATTGTTACGTGAAAGTGTTCAGAGCCCGAATTGAGATGAGATCAAATAAAAGCTGAAGAAGAGAAGTTTTTTTAACGTGTAACTTTTTATATTCATCATCATCATCCGACACGTGATGCTGCTGATAATGTGGATCAAAACTCCACTTGGCACCGAGATCATTTTGTAATTACTTCACAGTCACGTTTGTGTTGTGGCATTTGATCTTTGAAAACCACATTTTCCAGCTCTAAGTTCAAAATCAGGCGCCTGCTGCACATTAACAGTCTCCAACAGGACAGACTCCAGTTGACAGAACAATAAGACTTTGCTTCAACCCTTTTTTCTTGAGTCGTGACGTGATGGAAAACAAGAAGAGTCACTGTGAGAGCTCAGAGGGGGGAAACATGAAACAGTCTTGCAGCACAGTTTTCATTTTCAGTTTTTTCCTGCCTCTGGGTGACGGCTCTTACAGTCTGGCACGTATTACGCCGTCATGTGTTCTGTATGGTCGGGTATTAAGATAATCCTTTACACTGTGTTTACATTTCTTTTTCAGCTGCTTGTCTCGGTCCTGTTAGAAAAAGGGAAGCGCTGTAGAGTTAACAAAGTGTTGCACTGTTGCATTAATGTTCTTATTAGTTGTGTAACGCCACTAGTGCCAAAACAGACTTTTGCGGTGATGAGAAGTTTAAAGTTTGACCACTTGTCTTTCATATTTGTCTCCATCTTCGTTATCAGGGATCTAATCATCTCATGCTATATACATTCTGACTCTGTCATCATGGTGACCACGATAGCCCCAGAGGACAGGATGCAGGGCCAGTGAGGACGCCCGACGTCTGATTGCAGAATTACATGCTCCTCAAGTGTCCTTAGAAAGACAGAATAACAGAGAGGCAATGGAGGAGGAGTGCAGGGTGAACGGCTTCGGACTGAACCCAGGCAGGAGGAGCTCGGACTGGGGTCGCATCGCCCTGCTGGACAAGACCAAGGAGTTCTTCCAGACCTGCGACGTGGAGGGCAAAGGCTTCATCACCCGCACCGACATGAGGGTTAGGAAAACAGTGTGTGTGTGAATAAGGCTGAGAAGGAATTTGTAAAAATATGCAAACTATTCGGAATCCAGGGATTTTATTAGGACGGATATGCTGAGCGCTTGAGGCTGCAGCTAATGAGCTCTTAAACTTGCTTCTCTGTAACTCCACAACTCCAGATTTTTTCATTTCCAAACATAAGTCTTCAGCCCCAGTTATTTGGCTGAGCAATAAAAACAATATCAATAATTTTCATAATAAAATTCATCAATACCAATATAACAAAAGTTCAGTATTTATCTGTGTATTGATTTTGCTTTGTTCAAGAACAGTGAGGAGCTATAACATGTAATTAAACCAAAAACTTCACTCAGCAGCGTCTTTTAATTAATACAGATTATTAACTTGAATTCATAATGAGAGAATTTGTTTTATCTTTATATAATTTTATCGTATCTCCGTTTGAAAGAACAAAGTCTTAATGCAATTTTTTTCTCATCATATATGTTGTGGTGCAAAACCCAACACTTCCCTCTTTTAATGAAAAAACCCTCGACTCCATTAACCCTCTGCAGAGAACATTAGGACGTGCTTCATCAGTTTCACGTCACCTCGCAGACACTTCAGCCTCATCTTCACCATTTTCTCTTAGTTGTGAGTTAGTTTTTTCTCTCCATGTTACATCACCGCACTTCACCCATTCAACACTATCAAAACATCTGGTGAAGTGGCAAAGTGGCACCGCTGATGGAAATGTTGATGAGGATGATAAGTTCAGCACACACACACACACACACACACAAACTTCAGAGCACTTACAGTGAGCGAGCCGTGTTCTATGTTAATTATGAGCCTTTTGAGTTTCATACCTTTTGTTGCTTTTGTTGGTGTTTATTCTCTACTGAGGGTTGCAGAGCCTGATTCTGCATATTTAAGCCTTTTAAGATACTTTCTGATTGTAATGCCGTAAAAAAGCAACTTAACTGATTTCGACTCTCACTCCTGATCTCTCTCAGGATGAACTGTGAGCCACATTTTATGTTGTTGATCATGCATGTGCAGTTTGGCTCAGTGCAACATTATTTTAAATATCCTGTGTGTTTTCCTCGCAGAGGCTCCACAGAGAGCTGCCGCTGTCTGCGGCCGAGCTGGAGGACGTGTTCGACTCCCTGGGCACAGAGCGAACAGGTTACCTCACGCTGGAGGTCTTCTCCTCAGGATTCAGTGGGTTTCAGACTCTATACACACTCAAATGAAATTAAATATAATTGAATGCATTAAAATATTGCTTTATTTATTATATATTGAATAGTTCAAGTACTGAACACGAACAATGACTTTAAGTTTTGTAAATTTACAGTCAAGCTGGAGGTAAAAATCATGTTCAGATGCTTCTTTTGTGTTTATTTTGAAAAACACTGCTCTGCCTCAGGTCAGTTCCTGCACGGCCGAAGGATCTCCATCGCAGACGACCACAATAAAGCCCCCAGCCCCACGTGCGGAGCCAAGGAGGCTCTTTATCAGAGCCAGTGGGAGGCCAAGCTGTCAGGAGGGGAGGACGAGGAGGAGAGGCACTTCTCTATGCTGCTGGAGAGCCTGGGAGCCAGCAACGTGTTTGAGGAGTGAGTTATCACTAAACACTCTCTAATATATACGCATTTACTCATGTGTTTATATATATTCTGCTTCTGCACCTCTTCAGTCCAGGTGAGGTGCGCAGTCTCTGGGCGCAGCTCCGGCGAGACGAGCCTCACCTCCTGTCCAACTTTGAGGAGTTCCTGGCCAGGGTCACCCACCAAATAAAAGAGGCCCACCAGGACAAAAGAGAGATGGAGAGCGCCCTCCAGAGGTAGTAACACACACAAGCACTCGTGTCCTAACCCTACTGACTGTCTACCGACTCTGACTGTCTGCAGATTGTTGTTTTTTTATCCTGTTCATATCGCAAAACCATAATAGTTCAAAGATTCATTCTTTTTCTATATTTTATTCTATATTTCATTACGTAGGGCCAAATAACTTGTCTAGAAAGGAAGGAAAAAGTTAAAATAAGTTGATTTGAGATCGATCGATAGATGTATAGATATATAAATAGATAGATAGATAGATAGATAGATAGATAGATAGATAGATAGATAGATAGACAGACAGAAATAAACAAACAATTTCAATAGAACATCAGGGTTTTAAAATAAATGCAGTCAGTTTGGATGCATGCTTCATTTCTCAATAGGTTCTCACACTTAAAACATTTAAGTACTGCACCTCATGTACCATAATGTTCTTCATGTGTGTGTGTGTGTTACTGCACCGTGCCAGGCCTGCAGCCTGAGAGCGGTTGCATGGATTTACCTTTAATTCTCTATAGAACAAACGTTATCCGTGTCAAATGACTGCTAATCTGGAGGCTCGCTCTGAAGTCTGACCACCTTCTGCTGCCGTGGAAACACATTAATATAACATCATGAAAGGCGGCGAGAGATGTGACATGACTCGATTAGTATTTTAATTGCTTTTCTCTTGTTATAAGCAGAGGACCTCATCTGATGATTACTGAGATGATGTGAAATTACAGATGTGTGTGTGTGTGTGTGTGTGTGTGTGAGTGTTTGTGTGTGTACACATGTGTTGATGGGATGTAAAACATGTATGTGGTAGTTTTCCCATGGCACCGCATGGTACAGCTTGTTTTTCCTCGCGACTTAACTAATTGGCTGATTTGGGTCTTAACAGTTGTCAGAGGGAATGTAAATACCGCTCAGTATTCTTTTGAAAATGAAGCTCAGTGTGTGTGTGTGTGTGTGTGTGTTTAAGTATTTACATGTAATTAGAAATGCAGAGCTTAAGCTGAGCCGAGACGACAAAGCCACCCTGTTCCTAGATGTTATAGATATTATGTCACACTGTTCATTCACCAGTTTACCATCATTGTCTCATCCCTGATGTCCCCTCCTGTCCCTCTCTGCAGGAAGGCTGCAACACACGACAGCGAGATCCGCCATTTGTACGAGGAGATGGAGGCGCAGATCAAAAACGAGAAAGACAGGCTGCTGCTGAAGGTACAGCTGCTCGCCTCTCCTCTGCTTTACAAAGTGGTTGTGTTGTTTTGTGGAGATTTTCAACTGCGAGTCATGTGATGCCATCTACCCGAGCACTCTTAAAAACTTTTTCTCCCCTTGGGCCTTCGCAGGACTCTGAGCGTCTTCAGTTGCGCAGCCAGGACCTGGAGCACCAACTGTTTTCAAAGGAGAAGGAGCTGGAGCAGATTTTCCAGAAACAGAAGCGGGTGAGTGGACGTTTCCAACACAACCGAACAACAAAAACAACAGTTCACACAAAATTCAGAAGCTGGAAACTCACTTGGTGTGATTGATTATAAACATTAATGTAAAACGATGTAACCAAAGACAAGGCACAATCATACAACATGGGGTTCATGTGAAAATGTAAAAAAAAAAAAAAAAACCCTATATCGCAATGTATCTGCACTAAACATGATTCAGTTCTTCCTTACTTAGTAGTTTTTGCATCATCCTGCTAAAATTATAAAGCAACTTTCAAACACAGAGGAAAAAATTAAACGTGAATGTCTAGGGTGTGGGATCCAAACAAAAAACTAGATCTAGTGAATTGAAATGTGGTTTCATTTTGGGGCCCTGGTGGAGGAATGCACGTTACTGAGCTATTTGGTTTTAGTTTTAAAATATTGGGAGATAGTTGTGTCTTTCAGTAACATGGATTTCATTGTTATCAGTTTGAAGGCTTTGTCACCTCAGGACTTCTGACATAATAAGTTAATTAAGAAAAACTGAGGTGATGCATTATGCTTCTGTAGTTTTGTAAAGAAAAGAAAAGTCACCAGAATGTGCCTCAATGTAAAAGGTGGTATTACTCTTTACCCTCTCATCATGTGCCGTGGGGAGGAGATTTAAACTGTTCCCTTTTCTCCTCGGATACTCTAAGAACGCTCGTAGAGAATTAGTGCCTTTTCATTTCCCCCCTCTCCAGTTAGAGCTCCAGTGCCGCGAGCTGAGCAGCGAGAAGCAGGAGAGCCACGTGGAGAACGTGAAGCTGAAGATGACCAACGACGAGCTGCTGCGGGCGCTGGAGTGCACCAGCCAGGAGCTGGGGCTGGCCCAGGAGCAGCTGACCGTGCTGCAGGAGCAGGCCGCCCGGCTGCACCAGGAGAAGGAGATGTGGGTACACACACACACACACACACACACACACACACACACACTCGCTCGCTCGCTGCACTTATTTAAGTATCGTTTGCATCAACAGTGTGTTTCCTCACCAGCCTTAAGTCTTAGATATGTCTAATCCTTACTTAGTCTTTACCTTTACCCTAAACTAAGCTTTAACTTGAAATAAACCCTGACAGTAGGTTTGAAATACTTCAAACACATACTCTCACTTGTACTTTTACTGAGAACTGAATGTTTCTGTGTTGTTCTGTCTTGTTTTAGGGAAATGTACAGAGTAACCGAGGGCCTGCAGAGAGAAAAGCAAAGTCTCATGAAGCAGCTTGACCTCCTCAGGTATGATAGGGTCTTTTTTTTTTTGACACCTTGGTGGTAATTGGTTTAAATCTTTTTGGCTTCTGGCTCGGTCCCTAATTGGCAAACACCACAAATCAAATTCCAAAAGCAGTTGAAGGATTTTCATAATCCCGGCAGAGGGGCAGTTCTGCTTCTGCCAAGGTCACCCCTGTGTATTTATTGTATCATAATCAAGATTACACAAAAACTGCAAAACAGATTTCCACGTTACTCTGTGGCACGAAGCTCTGTGGCTCAGGAAAGAAGCCATTACATTTTGGTGCAGATCCAAATCAAGTGAGATCCTCCAGACTTCATCTATCATCTATGAGTGTGTGAGGTTTTCTGCAGCTTGATAATTTAAGGCATCTGTTGGGCCTTGGCGGAGGAATGCGTTCCACTGAGTGATATTCTATTCTTTTATTTTCCATTGAAAAGTTTTCAACTTTAATTTCAGAGAGATGAACAAACATTTGAAGGACGAGCGAGACATTTGCTGCGGTGTAGTAAGTCAATGTCACTTAATTGCTGTGGTTATCCATCGTGGTTTGACCTGAATTCATATTTTTGTAACACGTCCCTCTTTGTTCAAACAAGCCCCGCACGTCGCTCAGAAAGAAGCAGAAGCAGAGAGCGGGCGTGGCCAACATGTTCGACGACACCAGCCAGCCGGTGAAAAGGTGATTCATTCATCGTCTGTGTTCTCTTTTAACGCGAATCACTCCTGTCAGATTCTTTCCTGTGTGTCAAAGAAGAATTTCCTCTTCTGTGTGATGAGAAAATCATTTATGAAAGAAGGAAAAACAGAGGATATCTGATTCTATACACGTCCAAAAATCAACCAAATTAACACTTTTAACACAAATGATACTTTTATCAGACATATTTGAGCACTTTGGCCTCCAGACTCTAATTTGTTCAAGTCAAGTGGATTGATCCAGTAAATCCTCTGTCTCTCCTCTGTTTCCAAAGAGCCCCTCTCTTGGTGGACGGGTCCTTCCAGTCTCTGGAGGCCTTGCCTATAGAGCACCTTCATATCGTGTTTGTTGCTTCCTCCTCCTGTAGTGAGGATGATACTACTGCTACACCCCCAACCAATACCTCCTCCTCCTCCACTGTCAGCGCCCCTGCGTGTCAGCAGCGTCCTGCAGCAAAGAAGAACTCCAGTTTATCCAACGGCTTCGCCAACTCTGCTCCTCCCAAAGTGCACGATGTGAAGACGAAAGCCAAAAAGTGGCCCAGCAAGGTGGCTCCAGTGAAGAGGGTGACGAGGAAAGACAGAGAAGGAGGGAGGCGAGTGGAAGTCGAGAAGAAGACAGGGGTGGAGGAGGAGACGTTGGACGGCCCAATAGACGGCTGGCCCCTCCGTCGAGTCATCTCCATCGAGGAGGACCACCTACCCCACCTGCTCCAGGGCGGGCCCCAGCTCCTACTGCACCAGCTGAGTGAGGAGGAGGATGAGGAGGACGACGATGAGGAGGAAGATGCAGGGGCAGCACAGAGTGACATTGAATCTAGTGTTGTCATGGCAGCAGACGTCCTCGCCACCCAAACCCCCAGTCGTATTCCAGTATCAGTAGAAGCTCCCATGGCGAGGAAATCCCGCCTCGCTCTGGCAAAAAAGACGCCCATTTCTCCGAGAGGACAGCCTGTAGGGAAGGAGACGAAACAAGTGCGTCGACACACACACACACACACACACAAATATAGGCCTGTACACATATACATATATCTCTTTACACCGATATTTAAAAAATGTATTTGTGTGTCACATGTTTTTATATTTGTTTACATTTCTTTTGGTTGGAGCACCTGTCACAAAACCCAGTTTCCCTCAGGGATCAATAATAAAGTATTTCTGATTCTGATCTTTCATCATCAGAAGACGAGAGAAGTGGAACTCTTCGCCCCGGACCGCCTCTTTAAAGTCGTCCTGGTCGGCAACTCCAGCGTGGGCAAGACGTCGCTGCTGCGCTCCTTCTGTGAGGGTCGTTTCCACCCGGCCACCACTGCTACTGTGGGTGAGAAGAAAGACGTACTGTAACGATACCGCACCGAGTCTGTGGCTGTTTTGAACCAGTCTGAGCAGCATGTGTATGTACGCGCGTGTGTTTGTGGATGCGAGCACAGAAGAGGGCGACTTAGTGTCACATGAAAGAGCTTGTTGAAGTCACACTGCCTGTCTCAGAGCCCTGGCACACATTGTACTGTGCAGATTATGTCACTTCTGAGGGATTTCTCTCTGCTTTCATCTTTCCAAATCCTCACTCGAGCCTCGTTATCTCCACTTAGTTCAACCCCTCTGTCAGTGTCGCACCTCGCTCGGCCCGGAATCACTATTTCTGTCTTGGTTTACTCTGTCAAAAACAATTATTGTCATCAAATATTAGTTACATATGAGAAATGCAACGTCTTTTATCATTCAGGCAATGACACCAGATAAAAACCCTCCTACATGGAAGTTCTTGAATAATCCTGGTGATATTATTGTATGTTATGTAGGTATTGACTACAGTGTGAAGACGTTAACCCTGGACAACCTGCAGGTAGCCATGCAGCTCTGGGACACAGCGGGTCAAGAGAGGTAAGTTTTTATTTTCATTTTTAGATGCAGAACAGTTTCAGCCAAAATATATTTATAAAAAAATAAAATAAAATAATCTAATAATTTAAATAAAACAGAATCAAAATAATAAAATGAAATAATGTAATATACTTAAATTACATTTATGAATAAAGTGTATAATTCATCCAGAAGTACCACATCAATTAATTTAAATCCATATTAATAACCAAGTACAGCATACTATGTGTACGTTAGTGTATTTTTCCTTGGTTGAATGCGTATATACAATTTTTTAAACACTGTTACTGATTAAAATCTCTTTGTTATACTTTTTTAAAATGTCTTTTCTGTATAGTTTTACAGTTGTGGTATTCACATGATGATATCTGACACCCGTCACTGCAGGTACCGCAGCATAACCAAGCAGTTCTTCCGCAAAGCCGACGGCGTGGTGGTGATGTACGACGTCACGGAGGAGGAGAGCTTCTCGGCCGTGCGACCCTGGCTCATCAACGTCCAGGTGTGACCTTTGACCTGCCATGTTTTAATTTTACGTTATGCTTTTATATATTTACAGCTGAATAGATTTTATATGTGGTCTTGTTTGTAGTGGGATTGATTAGCCTAGCCTAAATCCTATCTTGTTTTTAGGAAGCTGCAGGAGAAGGGATCCCTGTCCTCCTTATAGGCAATAAAATGGACATGGATGGAGAGAGGCAGGTGTCATTCAAAGAGGCCGAACAACTGGCTTATGTGAGTTTAACTCAGATGTCCTGGATAATTGACGCTTTGGACTGGTCCCTTTTTTTGATTCTGTTAGAAAACCACTGCAACACCAATGAAATCAAAATCTGTTCAAATTCAACCTGCAATTATTGACTGTTCCAACTTTGTCTTTGACGACGTGTCCGTGCAGGACAACAAGGTGATGTTCTTCGAGGTCAGTGCCTACACAGGCAAGAACGTGACAGAGTCCCTGACGCACCTGGCCAGGTAAGATCCCGGCTGTTTATCAAGTCAGTGTGTAATGTGAAAGAAAGAAAACATACAGATTCATGTGCAAGACTAGAATAACCTATGACCTCTTACCAGCAAAATCGAATCAGTTCCTCTGTGGTGGCGTCAACGTTGTTTGACAGTGTCTTCTCTTTCTTCCTCCATTTGTCTTTCCTCAGAGTGTTAATGGAGCAGGAGGACAGGGTGAGAGACACGACAGTCAGCCTCAGTGCTCAGCCCATGAAGAAGAAAGCCTGCTGCAAGTGAAGACTCACAGAACGACACAAAGAAAACAGCTACAACTTTTGGAAGAAATTGGCTTCTGATCACTTCCGAACCTGCATTATTAGAAGAGATGAGTGAAATCAGTTTTCTACTTGTGTTAAGGACCTTCACATAGATTGCCGCCATTTTTGGCTCAGAAATTCAGTGACGATGCTGAAAATGATGGCCTGAAATGATGAAGCTGAGATTATCTGCAGTGAAACTAAGGTGCTGCGCTATTTCATGTAAATAAACTCATGCTCCATGAGTTTATTCCCTTGTCAACTTGTCTCTTGTATATAGATTGTAAAAAAAAAAAAATGTAGTTACTTAAATTGTCGTTTCCACGGGGACAAGAGGCCTAAACATTTTCTCTTGCAAAATATCAGCGTTCTAAATTTTCTCCCTACGTCTCTGGTGTCATATGTTTATTCTGTTGAAACTAAAACTGAAATAAATTATTAGAAATTCATTGAAATGGTTTTAAATCAAAAATGAAATCAAGAGAAAAAGAAACTATTTGACTTTGATTCTTTGTAATTTTATTCACGGTCTTTGTTCACGTTCTTTCCGACACAAAGTGGTTCATGACGTGTTGCATCTGTGTGTTGGTTCCTGCCCGGAGACATTGTTCGGTTTTATTCTGGCACCAAAGTACAGTTGTTCTGAATCGTTTTCCTCAATTAAAAGAATTAAATTAATTACAGTTCATCTTCGTGGAGTCAATAAAGCAAAAAAAAAAATCGCATGCGGATATATAATAAAATAAAAGAATCACTGTTGCTTCAATACAGTTACACATAAATCATCAATCTTCACAAATAACTTAAATAAAAACAGGTAATGACTGTGCTCTTTTCCTTTTAACATCACACAGATCAACGCTTTTCAATTAGCTGCACTAACAATATAAAGACTCTTACATTTTTTTATTTTATAATCAAAAAAATTAAAGGTCGAGAAAAAGAAATCAAGTTCATTTCAGAGGTTACATTCAACGATGTTCCCGGGTCGATCGAGTTGGTTCACGTGATGGAACTATTGCTGATAAGAGACTTGCCTATTCTGATGACATCGCTTAGGTGCTGGCATAGTGGCATCCAATCAGATGTGTCGGGGGTTACCCTCGTTAACCAGCCGGGATTCTTGTCTGGGAGCCTGTGCCCCTCCCCCCTCTCCAGATGTGTCCAGAGGGGCTGCGGGAACGTCCACGCCAGAGCGCCGCCACCGCTGCTGTCGTCGTGGTTGTCGTTGTTGTTCCTAACGCATTTTATAGTCGTGGGAGATGGCGGCCTCGCAGAGTTGTCCTTTGAAGTCCAGCTCGAGGGTGAACTCCAGGTCACGCTACCGAAGATAAAATGTCCACGTGAATAAAACCGTCACAAACCACAACAGGTATTTCAATCCAGTGGTGCAAGTTCACTTACTCTCTCTTGAACTTTAAATTAAACTAAATTGAATTAAATAAAGTGTTTTTACTGATACTACTCAGGTACATTTACTTGTACTTATTCTCAAAGACAGATTATTAGATAAGACTTCTTCTTCTCTTTCTTTTTAATATTTTGCTATAGCCAGCCAGTTAGCTTAGCTTAGCACAAAGACTGGAAACGGGGGGAAACAGTTAGCCTGACTCTTTCCAAAGGGAATTTCCATTTTAACCACAGCCAAGGACATTATTCTTTTCACTGGCATTTGTTTGTGTGTCTGAGCAGAATCACTGGAGTCCATAACATTTTGTGGAGGGGTGAGGCATGAACCTGGGAAGAACTCAATCATTTTTGGCATGAATATAGATAAACAGGCAGTTTCTTTAACAGGGCGAGATCGGGGCTTTAGCCTTGGAGGAGGTGTGTAGTCTCAGAGCGCCCTCCTGTTTACATTGTGGTGTTTGGACTTCGTGCCGATCCCTGATGAGTCTTACCACATTCTTCTCATTGGGCCGGACGGTGATGCTGCCAAAGATCTCCTCTCCCTTCTTGACAGTTAAGTAGTCCTCCAAGTAAAACACCGTCTGCTTCCAGTGAGTGCTGGGAGCATCTGGAGCTGAGGAGAGGAGGGGAGAAGGACAGAAGGGAAAGGGAGGACGGAGAAGAAACAGGAAAAAAGAGGGGAGGAGACGATGTGGGTTTAAACAGGACAGGGGTGAAGCAGAAAAGAGAGGACATGGGGAGAGAGGAGGGAAAAGTGACGTGAAGGCGAGTGTGGGAAAAGCAAAGATTTACAAAACGGCCTTGGGTGTGTTCACGTGGAAAAGATGAAACTGCAAAGCAACTGGATTCTTACTCTTCCAGTGGGAGAAACACAGAGGAGAGAACTCCCTCAGTGATGCTCAGCCTCGGGCCCGACAGACTCGGCCAAACATAGAACCTCCTCTACACAGTATTATGTAAGCACTGGGTACACACACATGTATTAACATAAGCTTACATAACAGCTTAGCTACTAGTCATAGGCGTCCTCGACGGCAAGTTACACCGGAGAGGTGCTCGGTGGTTGTGATCGGGTCGACTCGTGTAACGCCAGCAGAGTGTAGCCGAGAGCTACGAAGCTGAAGTGCAGGAGGTTTCTATTAATAGACTCTGACTTACTGCTCAGAAAAAAACTCACAGGCTTGTTGGACATCAGCGTGAAGAAGAATGTGAAAACTAAACCTCGCAGTCTCTCCCATCGTGTATTCTTTATGTAGTCTATTATAAATACCTGCATCTTCTGGCCTCTTCATCAAAACCCAGAGAGTCAGGAAACAGAAACGATAACCAAACATGTTTTTATATTAACGTATTTTGTTTCATTTGGTTTTGCTATTTCTTGCCCCCATTGTAAAACGGTGGCGGCAGAACTATCAGAGACAGATATCTGAAAATGAGATGAACAGAGTGTCCGTGTTCCACTGGTGAGGTCTCGACTCACCGGTGGAAAATCCTGTCTTCTTGTGACACTTGGTGAACTCGATGTTGAAGTAAGTGACCAGGGCGTGGACGTAATCATTGCGTTGAATCTGCAGACAGAAGGCTGAGGTGAAGGACAGGTCCTCTGGCTTCACAGTGTAGATGTCCACTTCCTGCAGAATGAAATAAAATCTTATTTCATTTCCTCCACGGAGGAGGTTGTGTGTTCATCTGCGTTGGTTAGTTTGTTTGTTAGGCACACACACACATCACCCCCCCCCATTTTCCATTATACATGTATATGTCCTACCTGATTATTCATCGTGTGTGTGCGTGTGTGTGTTTGTGTGAGTGTGAAAGCCCACAGGTTGAATCATGGGCTGAGGCTTGCTCACAGTACACATGCGTGTGGGTGTCCTCCATCAAGTCTACTAAGGGAGGGAAGGTTGTTGTTGTGTGTCTGTGGGTGTTTGTGTGTGTGTGTGTGTGTGTGTGTGTGTGTGTGTGTGTGTGCTTGTGTCTATATCGAGCTACGCCTCACAAAAATGGCCTCAAATTTAAGTATCACATTTTCTTGCCTGCCAAGCTTCACACAAACCGGTGCAGAATAGTGGAGGTGGAGGTGAGTGTCTCTACTTAGCATGTAGGTGTTGTATTTAATAAGGTGGGTGGGTTGCGCTACAACCTGCTCACCTCGTCCGGCCTATTGGGCGTTTGGATCGCTCAGCCTGACGAATTGCGATTTGTCACCTCTGTCCTTTCCAGTGATACCAGGCCAGTTTCATATCCAGCAAAGCGTAGGCGGAGAAGAAAAAATTCCCTGGGAGTGACTTTGTAATTTCAGCATGACAGGAGTGAGTGGCAGTTTGAATTACGTTGGGCTGAGGTGGCTGGCAGCGAAGGGGAAGGGGGTGAATACACCCTGAATACGAGATGCAGGCAGTGAGAGTTCATTTCCAGACTAAAAAGTTAACTAACCTCCACACTAACAAATAAGTCACCTTTTTCCAACACAAGAGGAACCCTCCTTTTGTTCCCTGTGTTGTGACGGAGAGCCCGTCTCATTCCTGCTGGTGACTGGGCGCCTGCTCGTGTGTGACATTTCACCAGAGGGAGAGACGGAGTGAGACTTCCCTATTCGCTCGGACCAGCGAGGCCTGACATTGTTTAAATCAGAGACCGTGACCGGGCATGAACGGTAAGAGGAGGTGAGGATTTAAGAAGGAAAAAGTGGGAGATGAGACTAAAAAATGACACGAAGAACAGATAAGAAGAAAGAGACAATCGGATAATATCGCATATTTCAAAATAGAGAAGAGAAAACGTGATATAAGGCGGTGAAGAGGACGAGTGAAAGAGGAGAGTAAATGGAAAGAGAAGTAAAAAAGGAGAGAAAAAAGCTATCACCTCCCTCAATGCTCTTATCCTCTGTTCATTTGTGAGATAAAGGAAAAGCCCACCGTTGTATCTTTGAGGATGGAAACAGAGCGGCAGACTATTACAGCTCCACAGAAACCTCTATTCTGTCCCAGAAAATGGTCTCAGCTGACGGGGATGAGTTCATGTACTCGGTCAGAAAAACCACAAAAGAGGGAAAACTTTGCTTGTTTGTCTGACGTGCAAGTTTTTACAATTCAGTTGATGTGTCATTGGTCTTTACATACAGTCTGTATACTTGAACACATCTAACCTTCAGGAGGCAGGAGTTGGTCACCACCTGCTTGGTATCTACCACATCCACCAGAGGCTCTCTGATGGCCACGTTGCGAATGCAGCTCATGTCGAATCCGTACACGTTTTCCCACCCTGTGCACACACAAAGAAAAACATCTGAGGCACAACCACCCATGTGGGAACACGTGAACACAGTCTGTGTTTTCAGTTTTTTTTTGGTTTTTTTGGAAAGCCCTGTTCTCTTTGTTCCTGCCAAGCTGTCAGCACAATAAAAGGTAGCAGCAAAAATAAAACAGAGCGCTTAACTCCTGCCAGGAAGAACAGCCTCGCACTCCTGCTGTCTTTCTGTCTATCCAGCCCCGGTGTGGAAAAAGACGAGCCCTACTGAAAATAAACTCCAGCTTCCTCCTCCTCTTCCTCCTCCACCATGTCTGGCACATTTTTTAAAATAGAATTTGGACTGAAATTTTACAGAACGAGCATTCCTTCCTCCACTCCCTCTGTCCGTCCACGAAGTAAGAGCTCAGGGGGTTCGGGTGGGAGGAATTATTTTGGGATTTGAGTGAAAGTATGTTGCTACGTGGAAGGGAACAGGGCAGACCACCTGTGTAGTGACAGGAAGTTACTGACCCAGATTCTGAGTCTGTGCATGTTTAATATTGCCACTTTGATCGGGATTGTAAGATTAAGCTCAGCGCTCCTGCTGTGAAAGCTATTTGGACACATGGAGTGAGTTTAGAGGAAATAATGCACTGTGGAATAAAGTCACTTTTGGTGCTACTTTCTAAAAGGCTTGTTTTACACAAGTTTGCTTTGTCGTTACTAATGGCTTCATTAATGGTTATCCAGCTTTATTGTTAAAAAGGACATAAACGCAACTCCAAATGAATGCTAATGCTGGTCCCTGCCCACTAATGTACACAGTAGCTATTTGCTCGCGAATTAGCCATATAATCTTTATTTCTTTATAACTGCACACACTCTCATAGGGGATGGCAGAATTGGCAAATCCAAATCATCAATAATTTATTATTAAAATTAAATTATCTTATAATCTTAATACATCTACGAGTTGCAGGTTATAGAAACCTTAAGCAGGGTTTGGGTTCAGCTTAACTATTTTGCCTGTAGGTGTGAATGCGAGCATGAATGCATGTTTGTTGGCCGGCGCCCAACGTCAGCTGGGATCGGCTCCAGCGACCCTCAAAGGATCTGCGCTATAGCTAATGGAAGGATGGATGGATGCACAATGATCATTAATTATGCACAGCTAGGAGGGGAAACTGAGTGAGATGGAGACATGAAAAATGAGATGACTGTACAAAAAGAGAAAAAAAAACACCAGAGTAAACAGCATGCAACTCTACAGAGGCTACTCACAGTGAATCTTGAAATCCTTGTACTGCCTGTCTTCGATGGCGACGACATAGAGAGCGGCCCGGTCAGGGAACATCAGGCCTCCGGGTTTCTGCGGGAGAGAAGCTTCACATATCGGTGGACGCACCACAAAGCCCATCCATCATCCTCACTGTTCACACACACCTGGTATGCGACATAAGCTCACACATGGTGGGTTTAAAAGCCTGCAGGCAGCTGAGCTCAGGAACCAGCTCACTCATGTATGACCTCAGCATCTGGGCAGCAGACGCACGCACATGAGCATACGGTAAATCCTCTCCTTAATCACTGGCCTGTGTTTGTGTGTCAAAAGCCTTTTTTTGTGTGAGCAGCTACAAACAGCGGGAAACCAACGTACCAGCCACTTGTCCCTGGCAAATATGACGGTGTTGAGCATGGACTCGTAGAAGAGGCAGTAGCCCATCCACTCGGAGATGATGATGTCCACCTTCTCCACGGGGAGCTCCACCTCCTCCACCTTGCCCTTGAAGATGGTGATGACTGTGGTTCGGAGACGCACAAAAAATGCTGCAATTATTACATTGGGCAAGGAAGTTATGTCTGTTTGTTTGTTGGATTGCGCAAAAACTACTACATGGATTTCCACTAAACTTGGTGGAAGGATGGTCCAAGAAAGAACTTTTTCAAGATTTGTGAGCCACACACAGATATCGTGAATAAATGGATGGACTGAAAGTGAAAAAAAAACATTGTATCTGCACTGGTGCTGATATATTAAACTCTGTCACTAAAGAGAAAAACTGTGGTGGTAGAAAACTTTCATCTATTTATTTATTTCTCAGTCGTTAAACTATAAATAAAGATCTGGACATGATATTCGGCACTTTTAACTTTTAATTCCTATGTGTTACTGAAACCATCAGCAACGTACCTGAATTGAAAATCGAAAAGATGAAACAAAAACCCGCCTAATTTCCACTGTGCAGGTCTTAGAAAAAAACAATCATCTGCTGCCAGACCTCCGCCTGTGACGTCCAGGGCCACGTTTTACAGCAGCAATCAGCGTCACTGCAGGAGTTCTGATTGATGGCGGAGATCCTGGTTATTCAACAGGGACGAGCTGCCAGTTAACCACCAGAGCTGTGACTAATGTTGTCGGGGCGTGACGGTGATGATGAAAATATGCAGATTTTTCACGCCACGCCTAATCCACGTGTCATCGTGCTGTTCTGCATTCAGACACAGGGACATAAGGTGTATTGTAGTCATGGAAAACCACTCAAACTTACCATTGTGCAGGTGATTCGACTTGATGATCTTCTCGGAGTATTCAGATATACTTGAACATTCTATCTGTGAGCAAAAATGAAAAAGAACAATTTTCTTGTGCAGAACCAAACAGGGCGTTTTCCACCATATTCCCACCATACACATTTACAGCAGATTCACCTTTAGGGTGTGAGACGAAGGACAAATTTAATCAAGCTCTGATAATCCATCGAAACACTTATGTCCCTGGTCACCGCAGACCCAGAGCCACATGGAAACTAATCCATCATTTTGCTGGCCCATCCATGGGTTTAATATAGTATATGAATCATACATAACTGTAGGAGACACTGGTGGTAATGTATAACCCGTGACTTGTGGCTCTAAGGGGAGCCAGATGGTTCTCAGTGCCTCTATGTGTGAGATTGTCTAAAGGAGATTATCAATTTCTATCCACTGGTTCTAAAGAGGAATTTTCAAAAAAGGCAGGATACACGTGTAAGTGTGTGTCAGATAAGATATTTAATTTGGACACCGAATGGTGTGTATGCGGCTTTTCTCTCTGATAGAATCTTAAACTAGATCTAAAATCTGACAGATGATGTATTTGTGGGGTGCATGTATCCGCCTCACCCCGTACACGTGTTTGGCACCGGCGTTGGCAGCGAACATGGAGAGGATCCCCGTTCCACTCCCAACGTCCAGGACGATTTTGTCCTTGAACACGTGCTTGTTGTGGTACATGGCGTTCCGGTAGGTCAGCGTCCGCACCTCGTCTTTCAGCATCTCCTGTTTCAAGATGGAGACAAGGTGAAATATTTTTAAAACATTTCTCATATCTTTTCGAGACATTTCTCTTGTGTTGTTCTTTCACATAATGAAATCCAAGGTTCTGTTAAGAGGCAGAAACCAAATCCTTTTGGTAGAGCTGGTTCAGGTCTGTGTTGGACTATTATATATAAAGTTACGAAATTAACATGCAAATAATGCAAACATTGGACAGAATGACGGTTTGCTCAGCAACATGTTTCATGTATAATGGTGCAGAAAATACAGTATTTGGGCCAGAAGTCTCCATGACAGTGGTGGAGCTTCTTGAAATAGGCAGGGGTACGACACAAAGCCTTTGGGGAGCGCCTGATATCCATCTCCCCGAGCCCATTCACACATCCCACTTTCACTTCTTCTTCTCTGCTTCGCACTCCTCTAATCAGGCCACTCTCTTTGTCTGCAAGCTGACAAAAACCTGACCCACATGCTAAATATGGACTCTATTAAAAAAAAGGTCTATATGTCCGCAAAACTTTTCCACCATCCTCATTTTGTAGATCAAGGTCATTAGATTGGCTGAAGCTCTATAAATGTAATTTAGCAGTTCACTGTAGACGACTGTAAAAGACCGACAGGAATTGTTTAATTTATGAAGAGCTGGGAAAACTGCTGCAGTAATAACCCTCCTCTGTTGTCAGCTACAGGAGACACTGTCCACCAGTGCAGATTCAACTCAAACCTAATGTTTGGTTGTTCGTTGGTGGAGATAGAGTTATATTTTCACTGGAGGACTCAACTCTTTTCAGATGATCGCCTTGTTTTGAAACCCAAAGCCTCTCTGTTGATGGAAATCTGTTTCTTGACATTAAGAGCTGACTGAGAGCCAGACCACCAGGGCTGAAGCTCCTTGGCAGAGCTGAGCGGGTTCAACAGAACAGGGAGCATCTGGTGTCATTCTTTTACTCTAATCATACCAAGCTGCTCGTCACGGTCCGCCCTACCTCATGGATGCCAAAGTGGGCGTAAGAGTCAAAGTAGTAGTCCCGTGATGTCATTTCCTCGGGGCTGAGGAACTTGGCGATCTTGCCCCTACTGGGACAGGTGGACAAGGCTGCTACATGAGGCGTGTGGGGGACGCAGGACATGTGGTGAGTGGTAGGCACTGGTTTAGGCAGCGGGGAGGGCTGAGCGGATTGAGAGAGTGGGGCCGTCACAGGCTGCTGCCGCTGGAGGGGAAAGAGGAGAAGAGAGGGGTAAAGTTGTTAGCAGAATTAAGAAATGACAGCGAGTTAAAAAAGAATGAGTTGTTCAGGAAAGTGTTTTTTTACATTACAGAGTTGACAGTGTTTGGTTTATAGAGGCAGAATTAGTTAATTTACAGCTTTTTGCACATGGACAATAAAACAGAGGAAGCCATGATATGATAAGCAGTCGATAAGCAATCAAAGCATATTCAGTCAGTAAGTAATTCCACAGACAGCTGGTAAAGGATGCAGGTTCCGTTTCAGCACCACGGACAGAGGACATGTGATCAACCAATACGTGCATGCATTAGAATCTGATCATTTAACCTGAACTGCACATCTGCATGTATCACTCGTATTACTGCACATCTGCATGTATCACTCGTATTACTGCACATCTCCTGCATGTATCACTCGTATTACTGCACATCTCCTGCATGTATTACTATTATTACTGCACATCTGCATGTATCACTAGTATTAGTGCACATCTCCTGCATGTATTACTATTATTACTGCACATCTCCTGCATGTATCACTAGTATTACTGCACATCTCCTGCATGTATCACTAGTATTACTGCACATCTTCTGCATGTATCACTAGTATTTCTGCAGTCACATTAGTGTGCACAGATCCCCCTCTCCATATCATCTGCAGGACACCGGGAAGTGCACGTTGCTATGCGCGCACGCCATCGCAGCATCACCGATTCCTAAAAACGAGGTTGGCACAACGATACCACGGATATAATTAACAATCAAGTCAAATATCGATCTGCACATTAAAAATAACGATGCTGACAGTTCCCCCTTCGCGGTCCATCTGTTAACCGGCTGCAGGACATCACAAGGTCCCTACCTCCGAGCTGTCCGCCTCCGCCATCTTCCGCCGCAGCAGCAAACACCGCGACGAATGCCTCAGTCCCATGAGAGCCGACGAGATTTACGCACCAACTCCTCAAAGTGGTCGGGAAGGTTTGGTGTAGAGTAGAAACGTGTCAGAAATAACCCAGAGTTACCGAATGTGTGGCTCCAATGTGCGCAAAAAAGAAAGTCATAATAGGACACGTGTGATGCCGGTTGGCACTGTTTCAGTCACATTAAAAAAAAGTTGATAAATCGATTTGCGTAACGTGGAACGGTCAGTAATCCATACTGTAAATGTGAGACAGGTTGTTTTAAAGTGGGGGACGGGTATTGCCTGGAAGGACCGTGTTGCAGCAGAAAGGTTGATGGTCAGATCCCAGCAGGAGTCGGTGGATCTGTTAACACCGGTGCGCACCGGGTTGGGTGTCCCCCGTACCCAAACACCGAAGCCCAAATCAGTGCGCAAAGATCCGGCTATCCGCGGGGATGTTTATTAAAGTGTCGCCACCACCAAGAAAAGTGGAGACAAGCTGCAACCAGCTGCGTCCTGGAGACAAAAACTCCTTCTTCTCGTCTCCTTCACCGTTTGGAAACACTTGACATCTCTCAGCTGTGACGCTCCTTCACAATCCACATCTCCATGCGCCCTTCACGTCTCCAGATCCCGAGGAAGTTTAAAAAAAATAAAGGGTTCAAAACTGTCAACCCTCGGATAACATGAAATCACACATGAAAACAGAGAGAGAATCTCATAATTGGAGCCATTAAATGAAATCAATCTCTGCTCTCCTCCGCCTCCTCACTCCACTTTCCTGCAGGAACAGAAGCGCAGCTCCTCAGCTGCTGGATTATATAACATAGGTGTTTCAGCCTATGTTGAAAAATCAAACCAAATACGACATGAGGCATTAAGATGCTTTATTAGACTTCAGCTACATGCATTCTTGATGTAATGGAATTTGCAGGGGAGATGTATTTTCTATTAATTGGGACGCAGTCACAGGTGTGCACATTTTGACTTGTACTATAGCTGGTTTTTGTCGCAGCAGCCAATCAGGATCGAGGACCGGTGTTCTAGAATTAGCTGGACCAATGAGAAATTAGATTTTTACACTAACAGTTCAACCAGTTTGTCCTTCGCTGCAATTTCATATTGTTTCCTTTTTATATTCAGTCAGAAGCATATTGCTGTCAAGATGTAAATAGATAAAACCATTCAGTGACATGTTATAACATAAAACTTTTCACGTTATAATATAAAACATCCTATTCTAACGTAATATTTTATTGTTGTTGAAACACAAATGTTTTCATGTTATAACGTAGAACATGTCGCATTATAACGTGATAATGTACGTGTATAACATATAAAGTGTACCGCTGATTTCTGCATCTTGCTGCTCGCTCATTTCATACTTACTGTCTGAAATTAATTGACTTGTTTTGAAAAGATATTTGACACCAAAGGGAAAGAAAATGGGCTCATGTCACATTATTGAAAAATAAAACACAATGAAACACACCAGGTTTTAGTCACATTTACAGATGAGCTGCATTGGTGGTGCTTAAAAAACACCAGCCTACGCAACACTGTCAATGATAATGTGTGCATCTTATATGTTATTCACACACACACACACACACACACACACACACACACACACACACCAGTGTGGGGGCAGGAGCACAGAGTCAGGAGTGAAAGAAGTGGGCATACGATTTTTGATTGATGAAGCTGATACCAATGATAAAGATATGAGAAACAACCGTGTTGAATTCCACTGTCAGAGTCTGTGAAGAACCAGGACTCATGGAGACAGATGTCTTGTGATTAGACACCAACAGTGGTGGCCTGGACCGCAATCCTTCGAGTAGTGTCGTGTGTAGAGGCACTTTTTTAGTCTTTATTATAAAAATCCAGTTGAGCTGTGATATAAGAGAATGACGCAACAAAATCAGTGTATATGTGTAATTTATTATGTAAATATTTTAACGATTGAAATAAAATACTTCATTTAAAACCAACACCACATTATGACGGTGGTAAACTTTACCATTCTTATATAAAAGGATCAGACAGTAAGAATAACACTACACTGTGTACAGACATTCTTTTTCCAGATTCATATCAAGTCCGTGTGACCTTTGACCTTTGACCAATGGCTACCAGGATCAAACCAGTTCATCCTTGAGTCCAAGTGAATATTTTTACCAAATTAGAAGAAATTCCCACAGGGCGTTCATGAGATATGTTCTCGAGAATGGGCAGAAAACATAATGTGTCCTCTGGCATAAAAAATGAACTAGTGCGTTTGTACAGGTGTTATGATGAGAGGGGCGGAGTTTCTTCCATTTTCATTTGGCTGAGGGCAGAAGTACGGATAAAGTTTCTCTCTATAACAATGGCTTATCAAAGAACAGATGCATGATTTAGAGTCTGCATTGTAAAAAGAAACCAAACCTTTGTCATGGTCTACAAAAACGCCCAACTTCTGAAGCTCTTCTTTCAATACTACATTGTTTGAGTTTGCAGATGAGGAATATTTGCCCTCATCCAACCCAAAGGTCCAAAATCCATTTTCAGTTGACAGCTTTACATCATTCTTTCTATCCACCGACTCCCTGACCACGCCAACGCTCCAACACGTCTTTCCTTTCACCTGCACCTCAAAGTAAAATTTCCCTGTCGTGAATCCCTCTTTTGCCAAAACCTCAGAACATTTATCAAATCTCTTTGGATTGCTGCTAACTTTCTGCCCTTTCCATTCATCTTTAACTTGTTTTCCATCTTCGCTTATGATAAGTGCGCAATTTGCAGTGTCGGGGTCAAGGGTCAAGTCGACCGCGTGTTCTCTCATTCTTTTCATTTTGATCTCAGGAATGTTTTCCATTATTTCATCAACTCTCTGATGCAGCCGAGTCACGTCTCCTCGCGTTGCCTCGAAAGACAGGTTAGGGCGGAGATCTGTGTCGGGGCAGTTCTTGTGCGGAGGTTTGGACAAGGTCGGGAAGCTCTGGAGGAAATGATAGTGGTCCTCTGACTGTGACAGATGCTCCAGCTGACTGCTTCGGCTTTCGAGCTCAGTAATTTCCCTCCTCAGTTCTTTGAGAAACTCATCACCCTTTTGCTTTATTGCACTGTGCCTCTCCTCGATCGCCTCAACAACCTCGGCCTGGCTCGCCTGGATGAAATGGATCAAGTCGGTGAACACCTGCACGGTGTCTTTTTCCTCTTTTTCAGAATCTACCTCACTGACATCGAGTAATTTTTCAATCTCCGCTATCTTCTCAATCCGTGTTTGTATCAACTTCTGGATTTTTGCCTGTGCCTCATCTTTTGTCGCAGCCACCTTTTCGTAATGCTCTTCCAGGGGGACAGCGTTGTGACCCTTGTGATTGTCTTTCAAACACAGGACGCAAATGAAGGCCTGCTCCATGCAGCAGTACAGCTCAGTCATCTTGTTGTGTGTCTTGCACATCCTGTCGTCGAGATTCTTCACTGGCTCTAATAATTTGTGGCCTGCGAGCCCAGCAACTCTCCGATGTGGCTCCAGGTGCAACTCACAGAAGGAAGTCAGGCACGTCAGGCAAGATTTAACAGCCTTTTCCTTTATCTCAGAGCAGATGTCACAAAGAACGTCGACCGATGGAAGCTGTGGGCCTGGAGTTGAGGCTTTGACTTGAACCATCTTCTTAAACTCCTCAGCTAACTCGGAGATGACGGTGTTGACTTGGAGTTCAGGTCTTGTGGAAAATGTCCTTTTGCACAGCGGGCACTGGCAAGTGTCCCTGCTGTCCCAGTACGTGTGGATACATGCGCTGCAGAAGTTGTGCCCACACGGCATCGAGACTGGGTCTGTGAACACGTCCAGGCAGACGGAGCACAGGAACCTCTCCTCTGACAACAGAATGCTGGCCGAAGCCATATCTGGACAAAAACATTGTGGAGAGTTAGAATTCACATCTGTGCTGAATAATCTGTTAGATTTTTAATAGAAGGTTTTAATTTACCTGTAAAGTTGTGAGTTTTAAAAGCAGCAGCTTGAAATGACGAGCAAACTGTAACTTTCCTCTCTCAGTTTCATTTCAGCATGTTTACGTCTGTGAGGTTCCCTCCCCTGATGCTCCGTTGCAACACTTCCTGGCTCCGTTTAACTCTTTCCACTCTGTTCACATTGGAAACTCACTAAGGATGTTAAATACGTTGTGGCAGCAAGGTGTTAAAACAAAGGGATTTTGGCTGATGACCTTTCATGCCATTCAGGTGGAGGCTGTGGCTCAGGGGAGAGAGCGGGTCGTCCACTAACCAGGAGGTTGGCGTATCGATCTCCCCACAAAGTGTCTTTGGGCAAGAAACTGAACCGCACAGTACCGAGAGCGTGAGTGATGTATGGCAGAGAAAGGGCTGCACATAGATGCAGTGTATGAATGTTTGTGAACGGGTGAATTGATCAACAGGACTCGAACTCTGACCTTTGTCTCACTTGGATTAAAGTGTTTGAATCCAATGCGTTTTATGTTTTTCTCTGTTGTTTATTGCAAAGAATCGTTGTGTATTCCTACGTTCTGGTGTTATTTTATTGATGTGAAGCACGGTCTGAGAAAGGAGCTATAGCCTACTGAATAAACTTTACTAATTTACTTACTTACTCACTCACACACAGACCCTATAACTTCCCCTCATCCAAACTATTTCCCCCGTGCACAGACGGATAAATCCCTCCACCTTCTCCCGAACACACAGAAAGCATTCAGGCAGGAGATTCTTACATTTTCCCGCTTCGCCTCTCTAACCCTCTCTGGCTTTATATCCAAGAAATCCTCTGGTTCTCTTCTAAAAATAATTCTCAGTTCAAACTGGCTTTTCCCAAACCAGCAAACACACGAGGCGAAGAGGATATCTCGGTCTTTTTTCTTGATAAGATTCTTGTCTGCCTGAATCGTGCTGCTGTTTTATCATTCCTCCTTAACTCTGTCAAACCAGGCTTTGCTCTGTCTTTGCAGGACTGTTACGAAAGTCTGACCACGAGAGGTCAGGCTCAACAAGCAGCCGTCACGTGGCTTGAACTTTTCTTGGTTGCACTTTAACAGAGGGGTGATTTTTAACATTTAGCAGAGCTCCTACCTCCACGGCCCAACTGTCCCCCCTACATTTAATTTCACTAGATCCAGATTTTTATTTGGACTTTATTTGGATCTGCACCAAATATCATGGATTTTTTTTCCCATCAACATCCACATGTTATTCTTTGAGAAATCGATGAAAATGTAAAACAAATTGTTATGTTAAAGATGTTAAAATCCTGGATTCGCATCCCAGATCCCAATCTACACTCAAATCTAGTGGCTTCTTCCTTAAGTCATTCCCCCCCCTGACACAAAATGCCCCCTGTTAGAGAAGAGGCCCACAAAGCAAGGCACTGCCTGCAAAATGGGAAACCTCATTTTTATTTGTTCCACTAAACAGTACGGAAATGGAACACAGTTTCCTGTTTGTTTTTTCCTCTCGTTCTGGTTAAACTTCATTTGGTGAGAACTAGACATGACGGATGACATCCTCTGCTAAGTAATGTTGTTTGGGCAGACTGCTTGTCACCATGGCAGGTGACCGCTGCAGAGCTCCTCCTGCAGCCGGGATGATGGCTCCTCTAATGGCTCGCTGGCTTATTGAATTACAGAGGCGGAAAAAGAGGCAGATACGCAGTGAAGAGTCGGCACTGGTCAAAGAGGAAGAAAAATAAAATTAAAAAAAGCATCAGAGAGACAGTTCCTTTATTTAAAAGATCTTATCTCACTTTTAAGGCCTGAACATGGTAAAACACAAGATTGGATATAAAGATGGATGGATCCACTTCTCCCACTGACCAAATATGAAGCCAAAATGTATGACCTATGCTGCACCAGCCACCAGGGGGCCTTGTCATACACTGGCCTTGTCACAAATTCTACACACTAAGTTTGAGGCTCTGTTCACTGCAGTCAGTTTGTTTCCCCTCTCCGTCTTTTATCTGTCTCTTGATGTGTTTGTCCATGTTCACCTCAGCATGAGATTCTTCAGGGGGTTTGAGTTTACACTGTAACCGAGGCTGAACCAGGCACCAGCTCCATTTACCTCTCTGTCACTCCCCCATTGTGATTCTGTCCTCAAGTCCACACCAACGCTGCCTTCATGGACAGTAGGAAATAAGGCAAATGTCGTGAAAATAAAATAAAAGCGAGCAGAATTTAAATAAAATGAGAACTTTTGTCTTTTTTTAAATTCCATTACCAATCCCAGTTGTGGAGACACTGGCAGCATTGTCTTTATGTTGGACATAAATATTGTATAAAATTGATCATCTTCCTCCTCATCACATCTGAAGCAAAATACTTCTTGGTCTCTCTGACTTTAATTCCTTTTTTTTTTAAAGGCTGTTATTTCTTAGCGTAAAAGTCACATCATGCACGTCGACTTTTTTACGAGCTTCCCTGAACGCACCATCTGCAGATCCCTGCTGTGGGACCCTGAACGCAACAAGCTGCACTGAAGCTGCAGAGCCAGACTCGTTGTGACGAGAGGAGCGAGGGAGCGACGGGTTTCTATCCGCACCGAGCATCGCTCCGGTGAGTCTTTACTCCGGTTCCACACTCAAACGTTAGTTTCACCAAAAACAATCCGGTTTGAAACGAGTCCCGCGCATCCACGCCGCAGGTGCAGGAGCTGTTTCTGCCCCGGGATGCTCCAGCTCACACCCCGTCTTGCGAGAAAGTTTGTAAGCACGAGGAACCGCGAGGGACTTTAACTCTACGCTATTTATGACGCAGTGATCATCGTCATGATCATGTCATGACGAGACAACACGTTGGTTGACCTCAGCAGGCATCACCCGTGGGAGGCCTGGTTTGGAGAAGTACTGCAAGATATCAAACTACACGATCCAGATGCGGCTTTATGAAACAGCAGGATGTCTGTAGTCCAGTGTGACTGTTTTATTTCTAAGGATCTTCACCTCAGCTTTCATCTACTTCACCTAAAGACTGAGTGATACGGTCAAACTATATCAAGATGAATCTCGATACTGATAAGTATCGTGATAAGTGTAACTTTAGTTTTCTTTTGAAGATTGGAGGCAGAGTGAAGTTTGTCTCTTGTCTTGTCTTTGTCTGAGAACTAGAAACACTTGATAAACATGCAATTCTAAGGTTGTTGAATTATACCTCACTTAAGCATTATTTTGATTATATATATATATATATATATATATTGTGTTTAACAAACCCACTACCTTGTTTAGGTTTAGAATACTTTATCTCCCCAGCAAATGATAGATCTAACACGTAATTCAGTTGCAAATACTACCTACTGTTGTGTACTGTAAATGACTCCCTGGCCAGTACACACCTTCACTCATATCTTTCGGTGCCATATCCACTGAAGGCCAGCAGATCGATATCGTGAATGAAAGTGCCTCTCATTGACCTTTTATTTTCAGAGCTGAAACCGTGTTGCTCAATTAATGACTCAGGTTTATGGTCTGTTCAATGATTTTAAGACTTCTAAGAGTGGACACAGTTAGGAAGGTTACTTTTATTGTTGCGTGTGCAAACTGCAAACGCTCCATAATGACTTTAGCTGTTGCTGCTGGGATGACATTTGATAGGCAGCTGTATCCCTTTGGAAAACAATATGAGTCTCACTTGCTGTCACACGCAATAATACGCTGAGCCCTGATGAGAATGAGTTTGTTTGGACTGCTTCAGTAATGTCTTTATTGTGTCTCATTCTCTTATCCAGTTTCTCAGATAAAGATTATGGTATTCTGGGTTGCAGAGACAAAACTTGAGGATTAATGGAAGTAAAATAAACTAATGAAAAAGTTTCTATTTTTTTTACTCTGGCTTTTCAATTTGCATTCGATCCACAGTTAATTTGCAGCATTGATTTAGTGTTTTGTGCTGCTTGTTTAAACAGGTGACTATTCAGGACCATCCAGAAAGAGTTGTGCTCGTGATCCACCATCATTCTGTTAGTTTTTATGTAGCAGTACAGTTACAGAACATTTATTTCTGCCACAGATTGCAATGGGACGATGTCTCCAGCCACCAGGGGGCGATCAAGATAATTTAACTTCCCTTTTGGGAGCCGCCATATCATAAAAAACATCTTTACTTTCAGAAGTGACCTGGAGGAAGGAAGATGTCAGTGGTTTATAAAGATGACCGGGAGGACTGGGTGACAGTGTGTCTCAAGTACCTGCTCTTCGTTTTCAACTTTCTCTTCTGGGTAAGTCGGCAATCATCTTTTTGAGATACCTGCGGCCTCTTATCAAGCTGAGATCTTCAGAGGAAAGCTGATGGACTCCGAGATTACACTGTATTTACTTAGCTGCTCAAACATTAATAAATAAGCTTGATATTCAACCTTTTACGGAAACCAGTGGCTGTTTCTATAAAAAGACTTAACTTAGTTTGAGCTTATTCTCAGTGGAGCCTCTTATTGAATTGAAAATAATGATAACATACTTTAATACAAGCAGTGAAAATACTGTAATGCTCCTTTAAAACTGCAGGCAGAGAGACGTTGGAAGGAAGGAGCCATTTAGAAACACGGGGAGGATTTAGGAGAGTTCTGAAAAGGACTTGGCCCAAAGTGAGTCATCGATTATTCAGGGTTTTTCCAACTGCGATGGAGAACAGTGCATCTCTGGCACAACACTTTATGATCCTCCAGTTTGCAGCTGAAGTGGTACAGCAGAGTGTCGGGGGTCATTTTAGCACATTTCCAAAGTCTGAATAAAGGAGAGGAAACCTTAAAGTGAAAGTTAATACTCTAAACTCGCTCTTTTAGTCATTTCCTCTTACGCAACAGTCTTCTGGGTGGGACATGTTTTGGGCCGGGCACTCAAGTCCAATCCAAGTGGCGCCTCCTTGATTGGCCATGTGTTGTTGTGGATTCGGGGGATCTTGCCTTTGACGGAAAGGGATGAAGAGTACAGACACTCTGAGGCATTTCCTCTGCGTCCACCACCCTGCGTTTGAGACAGGAAGAGGTCTCCACGCCCGGGCTTGACCTCTGTATTCCCACTGCTGCTGTGGCTGTTGTTCTTTATGCCTGACTGCCTCGGCTCTGTTTCTCTTTTTATTTCCTCCCCCTTTTCTTTCTACGTTCTAATCACTCCCTTCCACTGGCCTCTCTCACGTTGTTTTTTATCTCTATCTGTTGCTTATCTAATATCCTCACTTCCTGTGAAGTCATAAAACATTTGGTCTTGTATGTGTTTTGAAATAAAACGACACTGAAGATATTTCCTGCCTCTGTTCCTGGCTTCCTTACCTCCTCTTTCCTTGTTTTATGACTCTTACTTTTATCAATGCTTTTTATCTCATTTTCTTCTCTGAAACCTTTCGCTACACCCATATCAGTTTCAAAGCATCTCTTTCTTTACCTCTATTCTCTAATGTCTTTCCTCCCTCCCTCCGTCCCTCTTCTCTTCTCCTGCAGGTGGGTGGAGCTGCCGTTTTGGGTGTCGGGGTCTGGACGCTGGTGGAGAAGAGCGACTACTTGAGCCTGCTGGCCTCCAGCACTTTCGCTGTGTCTGCGTATATCCTCATCCTGGCTGGCAGCCTGGTGGTGGTCACGGGCTTCTTGGGCTGTTGTGCTGTCATCAGGGAACAGAGGCGCTGTCTGTCCACGGTGAGATGGCAGAGACACCACTACTTTAAAGTATATTAGTTTCACTCAGATAAAACTATATAGTTCTTTTCCCAGAAACCACTACTTCTTCACCGCACTAAAAACAACATCCATACAGGGTTGGTAGCTTACATCAGTTAAAAAACATTAAAGTTGTTGTCTAAGTGCAGGTACGGTTACTTCTCACAGTACACAAAGTGGTTTACAAAAGCCTGAATGGACTTTGTGAGATGATCATGGAGCATTTTGCTGTTTTCCAAAAATGTGTTTTCATGTTTCTACCTCTTCCTAGCATCTTCATATTGTGCACTGTCCCTTTTTAAAGTAGATCATCAAACCCCCACTTGAGGACTGAGGGGCTCACATTGTTACAAGGACTGAAACATGTATGAACATTTGTTTAAGTACAGAAAATATGATTCTTTATGTTGCACATGTTGGAAATGCTCCTCACTGTGTCATACGTTGTGTCATTGGAATGATCACGTGGGCAGTAATGTACCTCTAAGACAGTACATGCTCTCCTTGGCCTAAGTTCTGTCACTGGATGCTGACAAATGGCTCCGACAGGGCCCTTATACTGTCCTCTTTATTTTACAGAGGCCGGGGCCCGATGGGAGAGAAGCGGGCGGGAGGTTAACGTTCACTGCCGCAAGACTATTTATAGTAATGTTGATGGACTGAGCAATATGAGAGAGAAGTGGGTTTGCAGGAGGGAAGAAGTGGATGTGTTGAGGATTTGGAGTCGGTGGCTCACTTTGGTTGAATATCCACCTTTTATTGATGTGCTATTTACAGATTAGTTTGGGGAGATTAATGATTGATGTCAGCGTACGTGCACGAGTGAGTGTAGAAGTGGTGAAACATTTTGTGTGGGCAGCCGACAGAGAATAAAAAAAAATCTTGTAACCAGGAGACGGAACACAGTGTTTCTATACGACAGTGTGAAAAAGAAGATTAACTTAAATGTTGTCAACATTAATTCAGTGGGATCATTGCTCACTGTGTATGTGTGTGTGTGTGTGTGTGTGTGTGCGTGCGCGTGCGCAGCAGCATCTGTCGTGGTCCTGAATGAAGCAGCGATGATGCTGCTGTCAAACCCGCTCTGCGACAGCTGCACCTAATGACCTGTACATGTGTGTTTGTGTTGCGTGGCCTGTGTGTGTGTTTGTGTGAGGTTTATGTTCCATTGTCTGAACAAAGAAAAGTGTGTGCATTGTTCAAGGCTGTGTCCAAAATCACCCACTCGTTCAACACCTACTCTCTATACAGGGACTATGCAGTGGACTATATAGTAGTGATATCATCGGACTTTCTTTTTCTTTAGTATAAATACTTTTAGGTAAGAAGCACACTGAACGAGCTTGTTTAAAAGGAGAAATAAACTTGTCTGCTACAGTTTTCACTTTGTGACCGTCTACTTTTTATAATCCATTTTGGGATACAGATATGAGTGATTGATTTTGGACAATCTGTTGATCTGGCTCTTTGTGCAGCAGTCTGTCACAGCTCTCAATCTGCAGGCGATGTATCCGATACACACTTTGTATTTCAGTTAGTACAATAGAACTTCTCATTTAGGATAAGGCTTATAATTAGAACCTCCAGCTGGTGAGATATTGACTTTTAGCTGTAGTTAATCACACTCATCTGATGCCTGTTTCTTTATAATCCTCATTTTCCCGAAGAATACAAATGAATATTTGCGCAGTGCTGATTTGTTAATAATTAAACCAGCGTTATTTAGTTTTTGCCAACGTGCTGCTTTGAAGTTAATTGTGACACATATTGGCTGCGGTTTGAAGCGACGTGGGGAGCTCCTCTAAAGACGCCTGAGAGGAATCTGAAGCTGTCACTTTGTTCTCCCGTCGTCTTCTTTTCGTGCAGCTCCGCCATCTGTTTCCGACGTGACAGATGCAGCACAGTGACAGTTGATGGAAGTTTTTATTGAGCCGTCACAAGTGTGAGCCACTAACTCAGATGAGTTGGCACCGGGCGACAACTGTGCTGAAGTCAGACGTCTGGATGAATTGAAGTCCTGTGTGGAATTTATTGACTTTTTGTCTCTCTGTGTCCTTTGTCTCTTTCCACAGTATTTCTTCTGCCTGCTGTTTATCTTCCTGATTGAACTGGTGGCTGGAATACTGGCCTATGTTTACTACCAGAGGGTAAGTGATTACCTGCGTATTAGTCGAGTGGTGATGATCTAAATTGCAGTATGTTCCTCTCCTTTGCTCTCTTCAGACTCTTGGAATATTTCCATACTTCACTTAAAGCAGAAAACAGTTGCAGGGCAGGAACCCAGACATCTGTTCAGTTAAAGTTTTTTTTCTTGTCTTGCTTAACATGGCCCCTTTGGGATTTCACTGCTTCTCAGTGTTTATTTTTTTCCAGCACCATGTGAAAAGGTTTCCCAGAAGCCTTTGTTCTGTCTCATAGGACCCGGGTGACGACTCGGGGAGAATCTACACTAGATCCTTTAGCTTTGCTCTTTTTATGTTGTGAGAGTTGTGTTCAGTGTCTGGAGTTTATCTACACACACACACACACCTTAGAGTTGTGTTGTCTTACAAACAAATGTCTGGACTGCCATGATATCTGAGATTCAGCGCAGGGTAGAATCACTCCGATGATAAAGGCTCTCACCCTCTCTCTGTGCGTCTCACTGGTTTTCATGTCAGTGTACGTGACCGGTTTGAGTTTTGTTGACATGGTGGATGAGACGCATCAATCATCATGTTCACAAAGGAGTGGGAGTTGCCCCCCCCCCCCCCCCCCCCCCCCCCCCACCCCCCCCACCCACTCACCCACCGTCTCTCTCTCTGTCTTCCTCATTTCCAGCTGAGCGATGAACTGAAGCAGCATCTCAACCAGAAGATGACGGAGAACTACGCCCAGCCAGGACGGGAGGCCGTCACATTAGCTGTGGACAGACTACAACAGGATGTATGGACTATGTTTGCAAAACCCTCCGAGGTGTAGTTTAGTTTAGTTCAGCCGGAGGAACTCAAAGTGCGAGCAGGGTTGTGTGGGGATAAAAGATCCACGATACACTGTCAGTAATTTAAGTTGCAAGAATTGTACTGATGTGAGGAAGTGGCCAAATCTGAGTTAAACCTTAAAAACTGAAACAAACTGATTTGTGTTTGCGACATAATGAAAACCAAACCCTTTGCTTTCTTCTGTCTGACTTTCCAGTTCAAATGCTGTGGCAGCAACAACTCCCACGACTGGATGGCGAGCGCGTACATTTCATCGAGGCACGCAGAGGGCAGGGTTGTGCCCGACAGCTGCTGTAAGACCATCACCCCTTTCTGTGGCCAGAGAGACCACCCATCCAACATCTACAAGGTGGAGGTCAGTCTGCAAAATGGACCATAACTTAAGTTATGAATCTTAAATAAGACTGAATACTACTGAGGACTCTGAGAATTAACCAAGTTTTTCAGTTCTTTGAATAAAAAGGAGAAGAAGGGACACAGATAAAATATTCTAGTTTAAATTTTTTTTTGCGTCATGTGCAGACGTCTGTTTTAATGTCTGTCTTTGTTTAATCGTAATATCTCTTATCTGTATTTTAAATTTCATCCTTTCACCGTGCAGGGAGGATGCATCTCTAAGCTGGAGCAGTTTCTGGCCGACCACCTGTTGGTCATCGGTGCAGTGGGAATCGGAGTGGCCTGTCTGCAGGTAAGTCACATGTGATAATGGAGACACAAACACACAACTGTGGACAGACACGTAGCTGCTTTCAATCGTACTGCATTCTAGTCTGCCTGCACAGTTGAAGACCTGGCTGTTTGAATGGAGGGTAAATGGACGACCACACGTAGACTCGCCTACACGCTCAGCTGAATGAAATTTACGTCACTCTGAGCTTTTCTGACCCTCGTGTATTCACAGATGTACAAAGTCTTACATCAGCCTAACAGTTGTTAAATGAGCAAAATAACTCTACTGTCTTCAGCCTGAATAAACTCTTCTAACAAGTATAGAAACCAAATGATTAATTTATCAAAATGAAGCGCTGCCTTTACCTTTGCTGCTCTTTGTTGAATAAAAGCAGACGGGTGGATTTTCAATCTCTCCATTACTGAAAATGTAGCATCGCAGGTCAACAACTTCTAAATGGACACGTCTTTTCATCCCCGTCTCTTAGTCATTATCTAATTTTCATTTTTCATCCCTGTTATTTGATTTCACCCACACTGAGATGGAGCTCTTAAGCTCTAAAGCCTCATAGAGGAGGATACAGGGACAGTTTTCTTTTTACAGTGATTCTACCAACCATGCGGAACCCAAACAAACCTGCGCTGATTCTTTAGAGTGGTTTCTTGTATGCCCTAATGAAACAGAGAATAAGGCCTGATTACCTGCTGAGTCGTAATAATCAAGGCCTGGAACTAAAAACATATCACCTGTCATGTAAGATGTCTTTTGTTGACGAGAGAATTTTTGTTCGCTGTTTCTATGATGTGATTTTTAATCAGTGACAAATTGTCTCAAGGGACATCTGCATGAACGTATCGATGCTTAACACATAAAAGAGTTGTTGAATATATAATCCAGTGAAATCTAAAATCTAAAACTCACATTTACCTGCTTAGTTTAAGTGTGATTTAACACTTTCACTCCATCTATACATATGTTTCCTTTTCTAATCTAGTCTTCACTCTATATATCTACTGTCCGTCTCAGTGTTGGTCTTCTTTCCTGTCTCTGTTACACTGACTGAAATAACGTAGATTTGTTGAAGTACACGTTAAACCACATTGTAGTTTTCATCTTTTTACGTTTGTCTTGTGTACGACATTAATTAACCTGTGTGGTGCGTTGTGTTGTCTGTGTTTGTGTGTGTTGTCACTGTAGCTGGCTGGGGCAGCCTTGACAGCCTGCTTTATTTATCTGCTCTATAAAGAAGAGGAGGACGACTTCGGTGCTTTGTGATTTAGCTCTAGAGCGTCTTTGTGCTTTAATCAACGGGAGCGACCAGGTTGGAGGGCATTGTGGCAATTTCATACGTGTCTGCATGTTTGTTCCTCTGTGAAATCTCGTCGGCTACTTGAACCTATTTACTTTCCTCCATGAGCTTTGCTGAGCGTGAAGCATGCAGATGCCTGGCTTTGGCTGTGTGTCGCTGCATGTTGTGTTAATGGGCTTGATTACACACAACAGAACTGCATCTGCTCTGTGTCATGTTCTTTATATTCATAAAGAATACACACACACATATAAAGTACCTGTGATGACAGGAAAATATGGTGACATGTCTTTTTACAGTGTAAACAATGTTCTCTGTTTATTCCCTAATGACAAGTCCACTTTAAATTCCAACCTCGACCAGGCTTCACTATATATTTGTTGATAAGTAGGTTTAGGGTTAGTTGCATTTTCTAGAAAATATAATAATAATAATACTAATACTTACAGGAACCTAACGGAAGAGAATACACCACACTTCCATGATTTGGATATCTCCTAGTAAATGATCATGAAGATAAATTGGTGTTGTTGCTATAGTTACTCGGAATCTAAAATAGACCACTACTGCTGGACTCTCATGAACATCGAGTTTCTTGAAGAGAAATTCAAATGTTGCTAATCCTGTCAAAAGAAGGTTTTTTTTATAATGTTTTGTTGGTTTCACTGAGTTAAAACTGTTTATTTCTTAATATTTTTCCATCATAACTAATTTCTCATAAGTTTCAAATCACCACCGTCTCCTTAAATTAGGCTTAAAAAAAACAATGAGCCGCAATGTCAGTGTTCTCTGCTTCTGCTGTAAATATCCTTCATGAGTGGAGGAGCAGAAACCTGAAGATGGTTTGTGATGAGTGGATACACGGTGATGAAGCTCCATGACTCTTCCTCTCTGGGCTCTTAGAGACTCGGAGATTGAATCTGGGCACATGACTGTTTATCCATCAACCCGGCAGACCCAGGGGCTTCAGTCAATAACTGCTCCTGCTGATCTGTCTTTATTTCTTTTTGTAAAGTAGTGAATAGTATAGTGCTTTTTTGAAATTGCAAAATTTAATTAGACATAATTTAGGCAGTTACACTTTTATCAATAACAAAGTTAGTTCTCTCAATTAACTCAAGCAACACATCAAATGATCAATATATAATAATAACTTTATTTATATAGTATATATATAGTCTTTAAACCTAAAATAAATAATAATGTTGTATTTGATCTATGATATAATTTCTGCCCACATTGCTCAACCCTCACAGTGGTTATATTAGATTTTCACGAGTCTCTCCTCTCCAAAGTGCTTTGTTTCGTATCTGCTTGCACAAGCATGTGCACACACACGTGCGCTGCAGTAACAATGGCTGCCTGACTCTCGACATCCCCATAGAAACCAGCCTCATCCTCTCCAGCAGTCTCTAACCCCCATCACCTTTAACCCCTCGCTATCACCTCGGGCTGCTTCCTGCAGTCCTCCATGGAGACTCCTGACTTAACACTTCCTGTTTTCAGATCTGTGGGATGGTGTTCACCTGCTGCTTGTCCCGGAGGATCAAGATGGAGCCTTACTGAGCCCCCCCACCCCCAACACACGGACGGAACTATGACCTGCTGAAACCAAACTTCAGCCTCTGTGCTCTGAACTCTGACATTTGCCACCCAAGACAAATCCACAGACATGTTTCGGGTCACATCCAGACATGTCCCATTGAGGCCGAGTTTCAGTTCCTGTGTTGCACTTCAGTTACAACGCACTTCAATCCAGGCTTATCTGTTTCTTATCCAGGCTTCCTGCAGCCTCATTGCCTTGGCTGAGCTGCATGTTCTAGTGTGAGCAGGACTCAACAAAGGGAATCTCTCATATTACTTTCTTATAGTGATGGGAATAGATTTACCATGTGTTCACTGATATAATGGGCTTTTCTGCAGACTCCAGTGCTTCAGTAAGTGGAGTGAGGGGAGCACTGTGTGCGACACTGTAAACGATAGAAGGAAACTTATGGTTGTAACACAATGTGCCTCGTTCACAACTTTATGTATTGATTCTGTACCTGAAATATGAATATTAACAAATGACGTATAGTTCACTGTCTTTATATTTGTAGTTATGTCTTTATTACTGACAATAGGACTAAATATTAAACTGTATTATGGTTTATATAAATGAGCAATACAGGTAGTTAAATGTATGGAATCAAACATGAAGACATTTCCACTCAAATATTTAGAAAAGTGAAAAGTCATCTCAGCTACTCTATCTCTGAAGTAACGACTCCACCTAGTGGTCGTCAAGGGTCATATACTGAATGTGTGCAACTAAATATTCCACTTACGTCTGATGCCATATTATAAAGTATTTATATTCATATGATACCAGAAAAAATATACATTACAGATTGACGTATTTCATCACACTGTCGTATCATTCCCTGCATTTTTGTTTGAGAGCCACAGAAAGTAACAGCTATATTTGTATTCACTGTCTAATCTATCTGTCCGTAACTTTTGCCGAATCTATTACCGTGGGAAAAACAATGTTTAGCCTTGTTGCTGCTGTATTGTAGAGGCGGCGGTGCCGTGTAATATAAAGAGTAGTAATATAAACCATCAAGGTTTCAGAGATCAAAAAAGTGAAATATCAGTTTGAATTTTTATTTTATTTTCCATATAAATCCCTTGAAAGACTTCGTCACAGTTGCAGTGACGGGATTTGTGTATTTTCAAATGATTGGTGCTAATGTAGATGGTTGATAATGATTTAACAGTGGCATGTGCTCCACCGTCTGATTGTGCTTCTCAAACTATTAACATGAATATGATAAATAAATGTTTGAATATTGTTGCATCAGTTTGTTTGCATAGACCAGAGTGACAGGTCCTTCACAGGTTACCTGGGGTTCCGTAAAATTAAAGCCTTGTACAATATGTAAGGACGGTGTCTGAACCACTAGAGGGAGGCAGAGGTTTTCAGTTGGCAGTGGTCGGGGCCTTTAATTCAATTAATCATGTGAAATGAATCCTGCAACGCGCCACGGTAACAGAGGATGCACTTAAATCGTTGTTTAATTAATCTGTTGTACTTGTCAAAGATTCAGAAAGGCTCAACTCAACATGTTTGAAATCATTTAGGTCTTTGCAGTTGACTGGAGTTAGAAACAAATCTCATCCTGCTCCTCTCGGCACAGAACAAGCTTCAGCAGTGCAATTCAAGAAAATCTCAGAGCTCATGTTGGAAATGATTCACTTGCCTTTCTTTCACGGAGCGTGCCTGCTAATCCAAACACACCCTTCATGTGCAGTTTGCTCCTCAGAGCTCCGTGTTCTCCGCCTCGGTTTTTCACGTAAAAGCCCCTCACATCTGTCTCTCTGCGTTTCCTCTGTGTACACTGAAAAAACCAGCTTGTCAGAGTCTCTTCCAGATAATGGGAGCTGGATTGAGAGCTCAGATTGAGGTTGTTCGCTTTATCGGGTGACGTGTGGGCTCGGGCAGGAGGACACTGTGAAAACGCTGGCTGCGTGTGGGGTCTCCCACAACTCCACATTGGAAAATCTTGTAGCCTTCCCAGATCAGACCGCATTTGCGTTGCTGGTGTGGTTTCGAGGGAGGGTCTTTATATATTAAACATCATACCACTCGCTCACAGTGGGAAAAGGGGGTCTCAGACTTGTCGACCCCACTGTAGATTGTTTGTGCTTCACTGTTTGTGCTGTATTGTTGCCATATGACCCGACTATGTGTCTTTGAAGCATGACTTTTCCCTTTGTTTCTCCTCAGCTCCGGTTTACTTACCAGACACTGTGTCGGTTCGGAGCGATCCATCACTGTCGCACATTTAAGGGAAAAAGGGCACAAAGTTTTTAAGTTTGGATTTTCTCCAACATTTTGGCTTCAGCAGCTCTGTGGAGTTTCCTCAGTCCCTTTGTCTTCATCAGCTGGAAGAGTGTGGCTCTCATTTCCTGCAGATGTCACATACACACTGATGCAAGGCGATGGCACGCTGACTCTGACAAGATAGAAACACACACACACACACACACCTACACACACACCTACGAGGTTGTACACATTAGTATGCGGTTTACACCCTCTGCCAGAGGAAACCTGTGAGGGAGAATTGAGAGCAGCTGGAGATTCACCAGTACCATGTGTTGAGGCCTCTTTGTAACACACACACACACACACACACACCCACACACACAGACACAGACACACACACACTCACATACACACTCACACACTCTTTTTTGTAGTTGTGAGAGCACACATTGACATAAATCATTCCCCATCTCACCCACCTGTGCATATATGTATACATTTAGAGAACTTGTCTTAAAAACACCTTCTATTATGAATTTTATGTTATTTATTACTACTTCACGGTTTTTATTATTTATTATAAACTGTCATATTTGCATGTTTAATCGTTTTTAATTTAAGAGTCGTGGGAGAGGCATCGGAGGTCGAGGGACATTTTTTGAAAGAACTGAGTCTTCCACCGCCCCGCTGGGATCTGAGCTTATTTAAACTGTCTCTTATTTTTCCCTTTTTAATGAGAAACTTTTCTGTGTTTATTCACAGTCCACATGTCCCTCATCACACACATTCAGAGACTGTTGCGTTTTAACCTTAACCTAACTGAAACCTAATCGGAACCATGAACCAAGTCTTTTAAAGTTGTGAGGAACAAACAAAATGTCCTCGCAGTCACAGTGTGTCCTTGCAACGTCAAAATATCCTCACGTTAAAAAGGCCTCATGATGATGGTTTGCACAGCGAGGACTTTGTATTGTTGTTGTAGGAGACAAATCGAAAAAAATAACCTAAACCATGACCACCTCTTGCCAAACCTTAACCAAACCAAACCTCACATCTCACCTTTAACCTTCACGTGACCTCAGACCAGGCTTTGGTCCCCATGAGGTCCGCTGGTCCTGACAAGATCAGTATTTATGCTGACAAAGGTCCTGTAGAGGTAACAAACACGAGGACACACACACACACACACACACACACCGGAGCAGTGGGGATGATATTTCAGTGGCACGTCTCTAGAAGTTACCTCAGAACACATGTTGTAGCATCATCACTATGTCTGCTATGAATGTGCACCGATATCACACTTGACTCAGGAGAGCACAACATTCCTGCACTGAGCGGAAACATGATGTCCACAACCATTTCTCAATTATAGGTGACTGCACTTCATTTTGTAGAGTTTTGTTTATGTCTCCTTGCATGTTAGCACACAATCACATGCATGAGTTAGGGGATTTTTGGGGGTGTATAAGACTTGTTGCGCTCTCGTAAAAACAGACTCTGGCACAACACAACTGTTGTGTCAGCGAGTGCACCTGTGTCCAATATGTGCAGTAAAACTTGCGTCCTGACTTGCGATGATCGAGCGCCGCTGCGTGTAAAGTATAATGTATTTGTGAGAAACATCTCCTGCAACACGTAGTTTATAACGCAACACGCCCGGAGGTGAAGGCCGATTAAGGAGATGGACATTTATAAAGACGAGCGAGACAAGAGGCGTCATGTCCCGGACAGACACTCAGATTACATCACCGTCCAATGATCGGTGTAGTTGCTCACCAGACCTGTCCAGATGCCATGTCAACACACAGACATCATGATGTAAACGTATGATGGAAAACCACTTTGAAGTCCGTCACAATTACAGACGCTGCAGCGGAGGTGGATGAGGCTCAGGGTCGGTCCGCAGTTGTAAACTATTAAACTTTGTCTGGAACTGGACTTCAAAGGGATGTTTTTAATGAAGCCCAGTCCGAGGAGGTTAAATCATCTGTAAACAAGCTGCAGGTGGATTGCACACTTGTGCAACAACAAGCAAATACGGGAGTTACGTAATTCAAAATACCTGTCCGTCATTGCCAGCTAGTGTTTAACCGCTCGATATCTGGTTGATCCGACAGAGAAGCTCCAGGCCTGGTTTCTGTCCAGAGCAGAACCACTTCTGTGTCCGATTAAAATGTCCGCTGACCTTCATACTCTGACTCCGCTCTGAACCAGTTTGCCTGCAACACATTAGCTCTGGCCATAAATGTGTTTGACAGATTTTGAAAAGAGAACAAAGCTATAGGGAAGGAGATGTCGTGTGTGGGTCCAACTTCAACACTTCTATATATATATATATCGAAATTGAAAATAAATGTTTTTGGCATTTAGAAATGATCAAGGGGATGTATGCACAGTATTTTTTGCATTTCCTCAAAAGGCCTTTGGATGCTGCCAAAAATACCCATGATGCACGTAATCAATAAAAAAACACCTAACATCTCCCTGGAAATACACAGTTGTCAGTGGTTTGTTTTTTATTTCTATATACAATTTCTATGGAAGACTTTGAGAGACGTCTATGAATAAAGCAGTCATTCCCATCCTGGGGGTCAGGACCAAAGGGCTTGCAACGTAAACCTGAAGGGTCACGAGAGGATTAACGGCGGGAATTAGAAAAACAGATGCTTGCTACACAAATATTTACTTTTTATGACTTTTTGTGAATCGTGGTACAATTTTACATCTTGAGCGCAAATTAAATCCGCCACACTTACTACGACAAGGTTGAGCAATAAAGATTTAAGTGCGATGATATAATTACCGTTACGCAACTCGAGATTATGTAACGAAAGTACAGCTGCAGTCCAAACAACAAACAACAAAAGTTATATAAATGAATGAGTGGATAATCAAGTCATAAAAATGAAACTGTCTGTTTTTTTTGGCAGTGGATATTTCTGTATTGCTTGCAACATGGCAGCAAGGTGCACATGCTGCTGGGGTGGGTGTCGTCTTATTCTCCTTTGCTTCATTGATGATTGGAGTTAACGAGAACTTCATGAGAATTTAGCATCTTTAAGTTTCCGTACACACGGTTCTGAGCTTTCATTGCCTCATTTTTCCTAAAATAATCAATCTCCGTCATTGGTTTTGTTGATGTTGAGCAGTAGGTTGTTCTCTGTGAATTTCCTTCATTGTTTATATTCCGGCAGACGACAGTGATGTCATCTGCATACGTCACGATAAGAGCTCTCTGTGTCTGGGAATGCAGTGGTGGGTGCACAGTACTAACGAGGGGGACACTTTGTCTCTGTGCTGACTGTGTTTCAGGTTTACGTTGAATGACGACTGTGTTGTTACGCTCAGTTATGATGTCTGCAGGTTGTTGAGCTCGTCTCAGTTGTAGCTACGGTGCACAAACTCTGATTTTGTACCATGACAAATATATGCTTTAAGCAAACTTCTACCACCGCCATTACCACCACCACTACTACTACAACTACCACTTCTTCTACTGCTTCTACTACTACTACTTCTACCACCACTGCTTCTTCTACCTCTTCTACTACTACGACTGCTTCTTCTACTGTTACTACTACTTCTACTACTCATTCTGCTGCTACTACTACTAATTCTTCTTCTACTACTTCTGCTACTTCTTCTGATAGCATCTTACTACTTTTTCTACTACATTACGATATACTTCTTCGACCACTACTTTTTCTTTGTCTTTGCTTCTTTTTCTTCTAGTACTGCAACCTATTTCTTGTTCTACTTCTACTACTACAACGGGTCCAGTCATTTTTAAATTATTTACCAAAATGTGTTAAACTCATCCCACATTTCCATTTAATGCACATGTTTTAAATTTCACATCCAGTTTAAAACGATTGACCTCTTTGTAGTGACAGATACCATGTTGCAGTTTTTCCACCATAACATCTTGTATAATAATTTGAATTTGACGCTACAAGCTCGTACCCCAATCCCCTTAACATTTCTCACTTGCTTCCCAGTACCCCACAGTTGAGGGGGCT